GGAAAGGCCGGGGGCTGGGTCAGAACACTCCCAATACAGACCGAAATAGGCACACAGAGCCCCCATCACCCACTCTACATCCTACTGCAGGTTGGAGGAGTATGAACCATGGATGATGGGACTTGCAGTACCACCACTCACATTCTGAGACCGCTGTTAACCTTATCCAATGACTGATCAGGACCAAACTTCGCACATAGACCTCTCATGACCCACTTTACGTCCTGGTGTGGTTTGGCTGGGGATGGACCGTGGATTATGGGACTTGCAGTACCATTGCTTCAGACCACTGCAACCCTCATCCAATTACCATTAAATACCAAACTTGGCACACTGAGTCTCCATGACGCACTCTACATCCAGGTGCAGTCTGAAGGAGGATGCACCATGGACGATGGGACTTGCAATACCTGCACTCCCTTCCTAAGACCATTACAACTGCCAACAATGATGGATCAGGACCACAATTTACACAGAGACCCAGCATGACCCACTCTACATCCTGGTGCGGTTTGGAAGAATTTGACAATGGATGATGGGACTTGCAGTCACTTCACTCACTTCCTGAGACCACTGAGACCCTCGCCAATGACTCATCAAGACCAAACTTGGCACATGGAGCTTCAATGACCCACTCTACATCCTGGAGCAGTTTGGAGGACGACAGACCATGGATGATGGGACTTCAAGTACCTCCACTACCCAAGACTGCTGCAAAACTCATCTAATGACCAATCAAGACCAAAGTTGGCACACAGAGCCCCCATGACCCACTCTACATCCTGCTGCAGTTTTGGAGAAGGGTGGACCATGGATGATGGAACTTCCAGTACCTTCACTCACATTCTGAGACCTCTGCAAACCTCATCCAATGACGGATCAAGACCAAACTTGGCACATAGACCTCTCATGACCCACTTTACGTCCTGGTGTTGTTTGGAAAAATTTGGAGATGGATGATGGGACTTGCAGTACCTTTGCTCACTTCCTGAGACCACTGAGACCCTCGCCAATGACTAATCAAGACTAAACTTGGCACATGGAGCTCCAATGACCCACTCTACATCCTGGTGCAGTTTGGAGGAGGACAGACCATGGATGATGGGACTTCAAGTACCTCCACTCCCTTCAAAACTTGCTGCAAACTTGGCATACAGAGCCGCCATTACCCACTTTCTCTAATTACCCGGGCAGCGCCGGGTCCCCAAGCTAGTAAATAATAAATTGAAAGCGTAGGCTACGGCTTGCACACATACTGTGGTGAAGGGGGAATAGCTTTAGACCTCCAGGAACATTTTGCAGAAGAAGTGATGATGGAAGGTGCAGAGCCAATCTTCTCTGCTTCTTGCTCCTCTTTATATGCCTGAATGAGAATAGAGTGCAAAAGGCACAAATCAGTGTTTACATTGTTAACGATCCTGAGTGGATAGTCCTCTTCATTTCGTGCAAATGATGTAAGGATTCTGGTAGAGGCTCTTGAAGGCATTTATACAGGCTTCTGTCAGGTATCATGCTTTCATGTCATCCAAACATCGATTTGGATAATCAGGAGCAGACTGCTTTTCTCAGTGATCTATGACCAAATCTGGGCCATGCAGATTTGTCAGCAGTTACCAGCAAAAGGGAAAGCATGTGGGGCGGCTCATGGTGCCCCGGACACCTTCTCTCCCTACCCCATCACATGGTAGGGACGGGACAGGATGAATTGGCATCCTTTCCCCATCAGATAAGAGAAAAGATAGCAACATGCATTGTCCACTACCCATTCCCCCATCATACGAGGAAAAGAGGAGGAAGGTGCTGGCAGCTCCGTCAGAGCTACTCAAAACACACTTTCCTCCCCGTAGTAGTGGAAGAAGTGCCTTTTGACACTTCCCCTCCATTTTGGGAGGAATGTGGGCAGAGCTTGCCATGTCATGTGATGGCGCATGGCAGGCCCCGTCATTGCTGAGAATAAAAGTGGCAGAACGGGGCTAAAATACCCCATGTGAAGAGGTGAACTGAATCAAGTTTGTTACAGCTCCTGAACTGTATCTGACATGACCTTTTCAAGCTGGAATTATTCCAGCCTTCATTTTCCATGTCATGAAAATCTAGCCTGGCCATCCAATATGGATTGGGTTTTGCTGTTTCTCTTAAAGATCATTGTATGAGGGGGGGAAAGGTTGGCATACAGCTCATTCCCAGTAGTTTGTTTGTTTTCGTTTGTTTTTTTGTCATGTCAGGAGTGACTCCTGGTGTGAGAGAATTTGTTGTCTGCAAGGACGTTGCCCAGGGGACGCCTGGATGATTTGATGTTTTTATCATCCTTCTGGGAGGCTTCTCTCATGTCCCCGCATGAGGAGCTGGAGCTGATAGAGGGAGCTCATCAGCCTCTCCCTGGATTAGAACCTGCGACCTGTCGGTCTTCAGTCCTGCCAGCACAGGGGTTTAACCCACTGCGCCACCGGGGGCTCCTTATTTCCAGTAGTGAACCTTGGTGTTGAAATGCAGCTATTGTCATTATTGGAATAGTTTTAGCAGCTTACGTTACTCTTATTTGATTTCAGCTAAATGAAATTATACTGAATCCAACTGAAGGTCTCTTCTGGCAAGTGGATCATATCAAGCCAGTGTATAGTGGTGGCGGACAGTGTTCTTTAGAAAATCTTCAAACACTGTGTACGGTTTGTCACAAGGAGGTAAGTACTTTTAATGTAACACTGCAAGGCCCACCTCTTCTTCCATTAACATCAGTTTCTTTGATTTTTTTAATGTTAACTTCAACTTCTGTTTGCCCATATGTTCATTCATCTTGAACAGCACCTAAAATCTAGCTTGTTGGCCGGAATCCCACATGGAGTAATGTGGCCATTAGAATTAGGTGGTCGCATAATAACTGAATCCAGTAGAATGCAACTGTGTTGAAGAGCCAGCAAAGTGACCCATGTGGTACAATCCTCCAATACAGGGTGGTTCTGATCTGCATTGAAATTGAGCTCTAGCAAGACCATTGACACTCTTGCCAGTGTCGTATTACATATCTTAGCAATTTAATAACAGGATTCTGTAACACCCCTGCTACGTAGTTACGTTACATACAAGTTACATCTTGTTCGAGCTGTCTTATTTAGAACAGCCAATGCTAATCAGTAGGCTTGGGTAACCACGGAAAAAATTGGTTCTAAACTCGTTTCGTTTTTAGGGGGCCCTTGCGTTTCGTTTTTTTTAAAGAATTCCGAAATTTTACTTTAAAAAATTTCGAAATATACGAAATTTCGTAAAATTACGAATCGATTCGTTAATGGTGGACGCGATTGCGCAATATGCTAAAAAAAACCTCCAAATGGGACAGGGGGAACTTCTGAAGCTTCCCTCTCCCTCTGTTGTTGACTGTTGGTGTGATAATTTATTTTTTATCACTGATAAAACAAACAACAACTATAAAACTTGCACCAGACATACGGAAATAATTACGAAACAATTTTGAACCAATTACGAACCAATTTTGACCAATTACGAACCAATACGAAATAAATTGGAAAAATTGTTTCGATTTTTAATTACTCCTCACAGTAGTCCTGCATGGCTCAATATTGGATCGTAAGCTAATTTAAATACGAATTAATAACGAATTACGAAATTAACGAACGAAACCGCCCAAGCCTACTAATCAGTGATGTATTTTTGAGCCTAGCGTGGTTCATCAGATGTTGATGCACTTCAACTCACAACATTCCTCACCACTTTGCTGCCTAAGGTTGATGAAGAGTCCTGGGCCAACATCTTGGGGTTCCCAGCCCATTTAAAAATATTAAACATCAGATGCTGAGCTTGTACTATATTTCCATCTCTCATTTACTCTGGATCCATGCTGTGAAATCTATTTTAAATTTGTTTTGGTATACGATTACTTTTTTTTCTTTTTATAGAGAACAGCAAAGCAAGCCAAGGAAAGAAGCCAAATGAAGAGGCAAAGTATTGCTTCAAAATATGGATCTGATATTACTAGATTTTTTGTGAAATTATGAAACTTTATTGGTAGTCTTTCCATTAATCATGCCTTAGCATGTTATTTTTTTAAAATAAGGAAATAAGGGTTTAATGGCTCCCAATGATAATGTTATCCAGCTTTTACTAATGATAGCTACTGAAGAATTGTCACATAAGTCAGACAAGGAAATGGCTACATGCACCTAGATTTTTGTTTCCAATGATGGAAGAAAATTGAGTATGTTTCACATTGAAAGACTTTAATGCTAGACATTTGTTCTGAAATCCTGCCACTGGTTTAAAGGCTTTTACAATTTTCTCCTCATACTTAGAAGTTACTTTATAATTCTGAATAATATTAATACCACCTGGGAAGAAGGGGAACCACCTGTACTTTCAGCGTTCATTGAACAAGCTAGAATTTGAATGTTACCTGTACAATGATATGGAGGGTTTTTTTGTCTAGTGCTATTGTTAAGAGCTATTTTTGATGCAATTTCAACTGGTGGTGTGTTCAAATTACATCCAAAATTCTGATAGGTGACCAGTTATTAAGACAAATGAGAATGAATCTATGTAACTGATGACATAGTTTCAAGTAATTTAATAGGTGTAATCTTGGGAGTAAAAAGTGGATTTACACCCTGGATTATAAAGTGATTACTGTATTTTGAAGCATCTTCCTGTATGCTGGCTGACCTCATTCTTTACTGTAATTGTCAGCATTCTTAAAGATGTACACAGCTGCAAACTGGATCTTTCCAGTTCATTATTGAATAGATATTGTTCACTTAGAAGAATAAAGCAATAACATTCAACTGTTTCAAATAACCCTTACTCTTTCCCTTCAGTAAATGTATAAATAAGAGGTCAACATTTAATGTTCAAACCTACTGGTGCACAGGGTTTGAATACATTTCATCCCATGGCAAGAATCCTGGTGATATGTTGTGGTATCCTATCAGTTTTGCTATCTTTATCATACTACATGAAGCAAGGTTTTAGCCCATTTTAAGTAAGAAGCTATGTAAATCCACAAATAAGATTGTATTTATTAAGTTGGATAGACATGTTTTAACAGCTTGAACCAATTTGTGGCAGTATTATAGGCCATGTTAAGTTTAAAACTGAACAGAACAAGCATTCACAAAAAGGCCATGGAATTCTACAAATATTACCATATTTAGATTTTACACAATATTCATATATAGTTCTGATATTTTGATTACCACTGTAAATAGATCTGCTGAACTGGATGGACTACACTGAGAAGCTAAATATGAGTAATCTTGTTTATTAACCTAGGAAAGCCCAGTAACACTTTCAGCTAGACAAGGAGTTTCCACAGAAATTGGGCACTAACAAAGTACTCTTTAAAATTTTACAAACATCTTATGAGAAAAATGTTTTGGATTTTTTGTTCATCTTGAGAATGTCTTGATCACTGATTTACTGAAGGAGTGTCCTCATCTTTAAAGGACTGGATAAATACACAATTCCATCAAGTGCCAGGTGGTGGATTACTTCGCATGCCATCCCAAAAGGCGCAAGTTCGATAGATGATATTAGAAGAACGTAGTATCGGATGAAAAGGCACCAGCCAGTCGGAAGTCCTCTTTTGTAAGAACGCTGTACATTCGCTGAGGCAGAGCTTTAGAGTAAGGAGCCGGCCGTGGGATTGTGGTGCGTAAAATGACCTCCCGCCCTGCTGGAAGAGGAAAGTCCGCAGCTGATCCCAAATTCATGCGTTTCTCATCCATGGAGCCCGATCTCTTGAGTTCATCATCGAGGGGCATCATTGCAGCCGTCTAAAAAACAGAAGCCTTTCACTTGAGAGATACAATACCTTGCTTCATAAATGGTTTTAGGGATAAGGATACAGGATAAGACAAAGACTGCACAGGTAAACACAAGATTTGGATGTTTCCAAGCAGCAATACACAAAAAGGTGAAACCGACATGAGCATGACAAAGCAGAATATTCACCATATTACTAACTTGGGGCAAAGGCACATATTCCTTAATTCTGCAGTTCATTATGCTTCTATAATACGTTCATTGTGGTATCAAAGCATTAAAAGCTCAGCCGTGAGTATCACGCAAGGGAGCACACCACAGACCACTGTGTCAGGCAAGCGCAAAAGTGGACCTTGAATGGCTTTATATACTGATCTGATCCCCACACCAATTCCTAAATGTCCAACATTGGCCAGTATTTTCTATAAACTACTTAATTATATGCAGGTCATTTCTCCTGGTCTCGTCCACACAAATATACTCCAATCGCTGGCAGAATTGATCTCTCCATGCAATTGATCCCAGCTAAAATAGAGTGAGGATTTGAATGCAGTAATCCTAAGTAAATCGTTATTGTGAAGATGAAATTACAATCACAACTTTGCCACCATTTGTGATGCAATTAATGTAATTGTTTCCCTCTCCCCTGCACCTCAACCTAGTTTACTAGGCATCAGCTGCATAGGAAGAAGGTGGCCCATTCTGCTGGTGAGCAGAGCCTGACTGAGTGATGTTTCAGGCAGGGGAGGGGAGGGGGGTTGTTAGGCCAGGAGATATATACCGTAAATATTCACGCATAAGTCTAGAAAGTCAAAAATCAATTCAAAAAGCCTGGGCTGACTTATCCATGGGTCAAAGTAAGTACTAAATTTTATCAAAAGAAAAACATAAAACCTTTCTGAACGGAGTGGCAAAGCCAACAGCTTACTCCTTCCCAGGATGACCTAAAAGAAGAAGCAACCAACTCCTTCTACCCCAGTAATTCTCAACTTGTGAGTCCCCAGATGTTTTGGCCTACAACTCCCAGAAAACCCAGCCAGTTTACCAGCTGTTAGGATTTCTGGGAGTTGAAGGCCAAAACATCTAGGAACCCACAGGTTGAGAACCACTGTCCTACCCTCCAAGAGTAGCCGCCCTGTAATCTTCGGAACTTTCTGAATTCCTGGGCAGAGATATGGCAGCTGGCCTCTTGAGGCAGCATTGGTGCTTTCCCCTGCCTGAATGACCCTTCATGTATCCATAATTTTGGCCCCCAAACCTGCTCCCAACTTAACCACAAGATCAACTTATCAGTCCAACATACTTAGCATGCACTCTACATTAAGCTTTGTAAAAGGAAGACTGCTGAACACATGGACCGCTTTCACAAAATGGCTGAAGCCCACCCAAAAGGAAATATAGGTTGGCAAAGTTTACAACAATTTGGCGGGGGGGGGGGGATATTTAAAAAAAACATTCTTAACAGCATGCATCCTTGACCCCTCCTAGCAAAAAGACACCCAATAAAAGGTCACCAACAACAACTGTATTTCCAAACTGTCCTCAAAACATTCTTTTATGTTCTACTTTTCCATCTGGAAAGGCTCTCTCTGTTCCATACTGCTAAGACACCGACTTGGAAGCTCCAGTTTTTCAATCACAAGTTTCTTCACAACTACTTTCAAAACTTGTGATTTCATAAAACTGGTAGAAGCTGGAAATATGGGAAAAAACTTGTATGGTGTGAAAATGCAAATGATCAGTAGTACTCAAACCAAGCCGTTATGCTATGCTGCTACTGCATTCATTCCTGCGCACCTACATGAAGCTAGGCAGATGACTAGCAAATGAGGGAAAAGTCTTGTTACCTCCTCAGTAGGTTCAGTCAGCTGGATAAAGAAGGGAATCAGTGACAAAAGAAAGAAAGGCAAGTCAGAGGTGACTCACATGGGGTTAGAGAGAGGCTTCAGAACGGCCTGCTGTTCAGAGGCAGCAGACACACTGCAGTCAGATATAGGTTGCTATCAAGAGAATTGTGATTAACATTGAGATGACATACAGGTCTAACTGGTGCAGAGAAGACGGCCAATTCAGACAATAGAGCAGTGACTACTATTTTTTTTAAAAAAAATCCACTAAATGCAACTTTTGATACACCAACACAAGTAGCAGAGTTCCCCATTTGTGGCAGGCCCCCCTTCATTTCAATATAGGTAATCACAACAGATACACTGTCATTCATGGCTGCACTTTTGCCATTGAAAATGAACAGGGAATTTTATGAACTTTCTTTTGTATACATGGTTTAAATCTGGGAGCTTTTCTGCATTCGTTTTTATGCAACTGAATGTCAGCGCAGTTGAAGCTTGAAAGACAAACTGGTATTCTGCTTGTCACTCAGTGCACCCACATAAATCAACAGCAGAAAGCACTGCTTTTAGTGAGATTATAAAGAATGCTCTTTAAGAAGCAGAACTAATGCTTTTTAAAAACAATAATATATTTCCAGAAAAGTATTTATAAAATCCATTTCTGAACAAAAAGAAAAAAATATTGTTTGCATTGTTTGCAATGAAAATTAACTGGAGTGCCTAAAAACTTAGGGCCACAGAATTTGTATTAAAATCTCAAGCTATCCTGTTTTGTTTTCAAACAAAATAGGTTTTTAATAAACATTAAAAAATAATATTGAAAGAGGACACAATGGCAATCAGTCGAGCCCTGCAGGAATACACAAAGCAGTCACAACAAATGGCCATCCAGCCTCTGCTTCAAAATCTCCACAGAAGGAGACTCCTATGCACCCCATAATTATACTGAAAATCTGGAAATTACATTGAAAAAAGATGCCACTGGAAATCAATGTAAAGGTAAACACGATCATTTTGACCTTCTAATCCACAGTAATTTATATTACTAAAAAGCACTCCTTTGTACTAGTGGCTGTTTCACTGTTGCACCTTTAAGCACTGTTCTACTTGAGAACGAAAAGTCAGGCTAGCGTTGGTCCTCCAGTCTTTCAAAAGGGTTTAAATCCATTTCAGATTATTATTTCTAGCTCAAAGAATTTACACAAGAAGTACTAGTTAATGGTAACACAAAAGGTGCGCTTACCAGTGAGACAAACTATTGAATATTTCTACAGGAAATAAAAGACCACCAGTTGAAAAGAAACAGCTACATGTTGCTCTGTACATGCTTTAAGTCAGTAATCTGTTTCAGATGGAAGAAAACCAAGTTGAAAGCCTTCACCTTCCTAGGTGACCAGTCATTCCCTTGCAAAGGGGCCAGCCTGGTTCACCATATTCTAGGGAGGACAGAAGTGTGGGATTTAATCTCTGTCCTTTCCAATCATAAGGAAGGACAGAAAATACAAAATATTCTTCCACACACATCGCAAGCTGTCAATCATGATGGGAGGCATCCAAAGTATGAAAAATTGCATTAGAGGGCTTTTGCTGCCACCTCTTTCCAAGTTCAGCCTCTGCATTAAACATCCACTTATGCAGAATGGCCCACAACTCAATGTGCTCAAATGGTAATAACCTACTATTTCATCACATTTCATTTGGAATACAGCTGCATAATAAACTAGCATCAAATCATAACAAAATTCTAAACAGATTTTTCTACTAACAAATATATTAATAAGATGGGACCGAATTCCCATATGGAACTGTTCCCCTAGAGTACCTCCATTAGAGGAAACAGGAAGCTTCATAGCCAAAAAGTTGTCCTTCTAGTAGTTTAATGAATGTTTGCACACTTGAAAAACTACTTATATGAACTCATAAAATCCTCCAGAAGTGCAAAATAGGAGGCTATAACCCAGTCAGAGGAAGTGGCAACTCTGCCTCTATGCAGATATGGGGTGCCTTCTTGCTCATGTACGGAATAGTTTGGATTCAAGCAGCAATGTAACTTACTTGACTAAACATGAAATCAAACAGATGGGTGGTGTGCAGTAACATATCTCACTTCAGACTATTTAGATTCTTAGATATACTAAAACATTTCAGAAGCTGATATATCATGTAGAGAAGAATTTAAACTTGTTCACAGCTAACAATTACTAAATTTGATTTTTTTTCTCTGACAAGCTAGAGAATACCTACTTCATTTTAATCACTTTAATACAAAATGGACCACACATAGATACTGTGCCTCCCCAAAATGTATATATACCTTTACTAAGATTAATGTGGCAAAGTGTCACAAAATTACAAGATACGCTTTAAGTGAGGTTTGCAACTCTGGGCAAGGACAACAATGTGAACACTTTACAGAAAATGGAATTTAAGATGGAATTTGTAACCATGATTAAATCATGATTGTAACATTTATTCTTCAATAGAAATGTATGAACTTATCCTTCACAAACAATAGCATTAGCTGTAAATGAGTGTATACATTTTAGGGGGACATCCTGTATAATGTGCAGCAATCTCCCTAAATTTCTGGTCATTTCATGCAACTAGTGCCTTAAAAGGGACACACTGTAATGTATTATTTGCCAAATAACACAAATTTTCTCATTTAGTTGAAATGCAGAATTGCAATTTTAGCTTATGAGCAGAGCAATACAGAGGACACATAGTACCATGATGGCCAGAAATTTGGGAGGACATGGTAGCCAGTTTCATGGCTTATACTTGGCAAATGGTCTGATGGGCAGTTTGAAACTCAGCAGTGTAAGAGACAGGCCATGCCATTTTTGAGATAGAAATAGTTTAATGTGTTGTCAAAGGCTTTTATGGCCAGAATCACTAGGCTGCTGTGAGCTTTCCAGGCTGCATGGCCATGTTCCAGCAGGATTTTCTCCTGATGTTTCGCCCACATCTATGGCAGGCATCCCCAGCAGTTGTGAGGTATGTTGGAAACAAGGTAAGTGAGGTTTATATATCTGTGAAATGTCCAGCGTTGGAGAAAGAACTCTTGGCTGTTGGAGGCAAGTGTGGCTACCATGATTAGTATTGAATAGTCTTGCAGCTTTAAAACCTGGCTGCTTCCTGCCTGGGGGTTCCTTTGTTGGGGGGTGTTAACTGATCCTGGTTGATTCTTGTCTGGAATTCCCCTGCTTTTTAAGTGTTGCTCTTTATTACTGTTCTGATTTTAGAGTTTTTTTAAATACTGGTAGCCAGATTTTGTTCATTTTCATGGTTTCCTCCTTTCTGTTGAAATTTTCCACATGCTTGGGGATTTCAGTGGCTTCTCTGTGTAGTCTGACATGGTAGTTTTTAGAGTGGTCCAGCATTTCTGTGTTCTCAAACAGTTTATTTTGGGGCAAGGGGCATTGCCAGGAATAGATTTTGTCAGCCAGTGTCTCCATTTTTACCGATTCTGGAGAAAACTGTTTAGTATTGCATGAAGGGGGACATCCACTAAATCCTTGCCTATAAAGGTGTTGTAATAGGTTTACAATTTCTATTAAAAGGCATTTTTAGCTATGTAAGGCTATTCAGAGCAACAAATTCCAACTAGAAAAATTGCTTGTTTAAAGTGATAAAATGAGAGCCCAAGGGAGGGACCTGACATGCCTAACTCTATATGTAAACAGTGAGGTGCTATTTAACACTGGAATCATGTTTGGATTTTTATACAGCTTAAGAGTTGTTTTTGCCCGTGTTTTCCCCTACTCAATATTATCTCTATTTGGAAAAATGTTAAAAAGAAAGGTATAGGGACAGAACACAGTCAGAGGATAACTTCTAAAAATGCCTGGAAGGAGTTTGAAATGCCATATCAGCTCCCTTCTTTTTAATGCAGAGGATGAGGCATGCCATCCCATTAACTCTTCTTGTTATCAATACAGGTAATGCATTCCTAGCATCTACTTCTTTTGTATTTCTCAGAGACTGAAACAGTAAGATAGACACAAGGACTGAAAGAGAACATAAAGAGTGTGCTTCTGTATGTGGAGGAGGGATACACTCAACAACACAGATTGAAAAACTGCACAAGACAGTCTAGAAAGTTTTCCGAGACATTGCAAATTCCACTTGATATCTTCATTAGATATATAAATACCTCACTTTCCACATGTCTGATCCATTAAATAAGCATACAATAAACTTATCCAAAGTGTTTAGCAGTTTTAAAAAGATAATTATACTATTTATGCATCTTTCAACTGAACTGCTCAGTATTTCCATTGTTTAGAAGACTTTGTCAATAATTTCAAGATTAGTGCACTGTAGACTACTCAAATTTTAATCAAATTCCATAAACTAAAAGAATATTAATTCAATGTGAAATAAACAGCCAGTGAGCAAATAAATCTAGATATGAGCCCACCATTCTGTAAACCATCCAGCTGCAGGGACATGCTGAAACTAGGATCTCTAAATCCTATCTGATATGGATATGGCATGGTGCATCTCTAAAGTGCCATTTCCTAGCATGTGAGGGCTTGAGAGACACAGAACGCTCTTAAAACATCTTGTTAAACTGAAACATTTTTTGGCTCCTGGAATGATCCAGTATCAGCATCTTCATGCATCACAGGAAGTACCATCTCGTCCCCACAAAACATATGCCATTATTATTTTTAACCCTAAATCAAACTGCTAGTCCTAATTCAGTTAGATTCTGTTGATTACCATTCAATTGCTGAAAAGTACCAGTAAGTCCAAAGTTATGGAAATCCCACCTGATCTAATTTCATTGGGCATAAGCAATCAGATATAGGACTTTGGGTTTAAAAGGCAACAAAGGCTTTGCAGTTTGTCTTGCATATTACTGCAACCCCCTTCTGGAAAATATAACCAGAATATCTTTATATAGAAAGAATTCTGAAGTTTGAAATAATCTATCACCCTGAAGCAGAAAGAATAATACAGCTACATTGTAAGGTAGTTGTTTTACCATGTGGTCTGAAATGTTGTGGCTTACCCTCTGTGCACTCATGAAAAGCTTGTGAATGATAGTCCCAGCAGGACCTCTTCCCGCACCAATGACTGAGACTTCTGGCTGTTCCAGAAAAGAATTCACAAATCTGACAAGACAGAACAAAAGTCAGAACACCAAAGTGCCATTTGTTTGTTTTTTTAAGAGCTTGTTACTTCAAAGCTTCTCAATACAAGTACGCACACTGAACATACCCAGATACTGAGATATACCGTATATACTTGAGTATAAGCCAACCCAAATATAAGCTGAGACACCTAATTTTACAACAACAAAAAACTGGGAAAACTTACTGACTCGAGGATAATGGGAAATGGAGAAGCTACTGGTAAATTTCAAAAATAAAAATAGAAATAGATACCAATAAAATTGCCGGATATACTCAAGTATAAGCCAACCCAAATATAAGCCGAGGGGGCTTTTTCAGCCTTAAAAATGCGCTGAAAAACTCGGCTTATACTTGAGCATATATGGTAATATCACTTGTTTTATTTACTCTTCATTGGTTGTCTCTGCAAAACTGATTAAGCCAACCAGATTAATTCCACTGAAAGCATGTGACAACTGAGTCATGAAGTGTTGAAAACATATACTCTGAATCAACTACTTTGATTCAGAGCACAGGTGACTCGGTCAATATTTTGGCATCTGACATGGCTCCGGATAAATGTATCTATGGTTGCTGCCTAACACAGGGCTAGTAAGAACTTCACAACCTTTGGTGACACTGGATATGTCCCAGGGTTTTAATCACCCATATACCAATCTTCCCTGCCCTCTTTTCCTTATGAATGATTGTTAAGTGAATACAAGCATTAATCCTGGTTTCCGCCACTCAATTCAAAACCAGTTCACATGCATAAAGATGTGTGTTTATCATAAAGGCCACAAGATACTTTCCTCACTTCAGAATATAGTCAGGGATACAAAAATATATATAAATATACTAAAGTAAATACACTCATACATACTCATTGTAATCAAAGACCCAAATATGTCAGTTTCAACTTCTATATCCCAAATGGTCTTGCATCCAAGATGACAAACCAGAGCAAGAAAAGGGAGCATGAAGGAATTTGATCTGTAGAGGCCAATGAAATATAAGGAATCTGAAATCATTCACCTTTCTAGATCTTTCCGTTCCTCTTCCTTATCACACTTTTCAACACCAAATTTTGCTTTCAATGACCTCGCTCGGGCAATTGTGGCTTCCACACTCAGAATCTGACCAATTATTTCCTATGCAAGAAGAGAAAACATTTCCAAGATGCCAAATGTCAGAAAGTTTCTTTTTTTGGATGTAATAAAACTTTTTTAAAAACCAAAACATCTTACTTCAAGTTTTTTGTCCTCTGGATTTGGAAACCGGAGGACTTTACTAGAGTGGGTGATTATCTGCTTAATGATCTTCTTTACTGAAGAAATGTCTTCTAGGGATTCTATTTGGAAAACATGAAAACAAATACTGTAGGTAATAGTTTATTTTCCCTCCAAGCATGAGTTCTTGCTCACCAAGTGTTATTTACCTTCTTCCTTTACCTTGAGTACAGCTGCATGGATGATACAAGGCAGAAGATGCCTCGCAAGGTCAGCAGGTTTCTGAACTGCTAAATAGTGCAGCACCTGCAGGTTTGGTAAATAAAGACCCCATTAGCATAGTAATCCCATCACTAACATCTGAGCATCTTGCTGCTATTCAACAGACATCATCTCTCTGCTATATTACATGAAAGTATTATGGGAATGGAGGCTATCAGAATGAACCCTAATAAAGAGGCTTCTGTATTTATATCTCACAACTTTTATACTAACTATCTGTAACTCCGGGGGGGGGGGGGGGGGTGCTGGGTCAATTGAGGTTCTTTGACTTCCTTTTGGATTTTTTTTTTGGGAAAAGTTTACGCTTTAGCATGAGAAAAGTCAAATTACCTGAAAATGACTGGATTCTAAGAAACAAAGATAATGAATATTCTTTTTTTAAAAAAACGATCTTTATTAAAGTTTTCAGCTATATACATCCAAGGGGAAGGTTAGATAAGGTAGGGTGGGGTAGATAGGGTAAGGTCAGAAAGATAATGAATATTCAAAGCTCAAAACCTGCCAGGAAAAGTACATCTACCCTTTTAATCAGTAGGTAATTTTTGGAAGCTACTACAAGTGAAGTCCCAAACTAGTGAAACAATGCAGAACTGGCTTTCAACTACCCAGCATAGTTTTCTGGATGAAGCAGTGTAGCTTAGAAGAAGTTGAGGATTTGTTTGGAACTGATGATGGGCAGGAAGCAGAGGCCTGGGAGGAAAAACTCTTCATAATTACTGCCAAGTCTGAAAGGCTTTATTTCCAAAGTACATAAAACTCCCGAGTGTTGGCAATTATTTGAAGGGCCTTTGATGACTTTGTTTTTATTTTCCCTTAAAAAAAAAGACTTCCAATCCACAGGATTCTATTTTTGGAAGGAAAATCATTATTTAATCCAACCTTAAAAGCAATCTGCATGGTGTGTGCTAATACAATGAGCAGGATGATGTACAAAACAGACAAAATATTCAGAAGTGGGTTGTGCCATTCTTAAGTCAATGCTGTAAAGCCCAAACCTTCTGAACAGCCCATCAGGAGTCTTTTTACCTTCTCCGCCTCGCGAGTGTCGTCAAAGAGCCGCCGCTGCCTTCTTGCTGGTATTGGCTTTGCGGTTTCCCAGGCTTCAACCCACATGTTGCTGGGAATCTTCATTCGGGCGCTCAGCTCACCCTTAATGACCATGTTCCCCTTTTCATCCACAATTTCCTCTTCAATGTAATCCCGAGGGGAATACCACCTCACAAAGTCCTCCAGACAACAACCAGGGTTGGCTGCCTAAGATGGAATTGCAGGAGGGGGAAGACACAGAAATAGAATGTAAGTTTAACAAAACAAAACTTGCTTAGCAAAGTAGCTACGTCTTTACAAAGACGTATATAAAATTGGATACAAAATCCTGAAAATGATAATTGGGCCAGACTTTAGCAAAGCAGGTTAACCACCAGCTGCAATAAATCTTGCCAATCGAAGGTTGGCAGTTTGAAGCCTGGGTCGGGGGTGAACACCCGACCTTCAGCCCAGCTCACTGCCCACATACCATATCGAAAATGGCTGTGAGTAGATAAATAAGTACTGCTTAAGCAGGGAGGTATTTTAATGGCACTAAAAGAAAATATCAGAAAATGCCAGTGATTCAATCAAAGGGCTCTTCAGCATGGTGGATGGAGCGACAGCAACCACCCCCCCCCCACCTCGTGGCCAGAATCAAGCACAACCTCCAAGACGCCAAAGATGGGGAAAAGCCTATATACCTCAGTGTATAATGGCATTGAATGTTTGCCGTATATGTATTCTATGATCCGCCCTGAGTACTCTTTGGGTTGCGACGGGCGGAATATATAAATAAAATAATTAAAATGTAATTAAAATGTAAATAAAATAATTAAAAATAAATACTAACTCAGCAGAAAGGTTTCACATGAGTGTTCAATGTTACAAAATTCAAAAGCAGATCCACAAAATACCTGAACAAGCATTCGTGCAGCTGACTGGGCAGCAACTGCAATGACGCGTGAGAACTGTCATTGAATAGATCTTGGACTGGAACTCTGGATATGATTTGGATTTGCAAACTTAGGCTTGGTTGTGCTTTTAATATTTTAATGGCTAAAATTTTAATATATTTTATAAGCTTGTTGTCTTATTTAATGTTAATTATTTGTATTGCAATTGTTTGTTTGTTGACATCTAATGATTGCCAGTTGTAAGCTGCACTGAGTCCCCCCCTCGAGGTTGAGAAGGATGGGATAAAAATGCCTGAAATAAAATAAATAAATAAACTAGATTGGTTTCTGACACTACACTACTCTCAATGATTTTGTATGCTTACTCACAATGCCCTGCCTCATGCACAGAGGAAAAACTGTTTAAAGCTACAGACAATGCAGTCACTATTGCCCCGCTTTGGTCAAAATTAATTAAGACACTTGTGTTCCCTCTATTTTATCAGTTTTATACTAATTTATTTATGCAATGGTTTTGACACGAAATGATATTGTAGGACAAGCCTTGTAAGCATTATGAAAACCCATCAGAGACAAGGTAATAGCTAGCCTTTTACAACACAGACGACCAAATGCTCTAATACACATGCCTAAAAGAAAAAGCAAAGCAGAATCCTATATTGTTCCACAGAGTCAAGGTCTGAAAGTGTTTCTTGAAAGATCTACTAAGTGTTCTATTGGAGGAGTGATTCCAGTATAGTAATGTTATAAAGACCATCTCTTGCAATGTGAAACCTGTGCTTACCTTAAAAGATTCCATGTCGGAGAGTAAGCAGGCGCTCTGCATGCGAGCACGGAGGTGGGCTCCTTCTGCCGATGTTCCCAGTTTAGCCAACACTTCAGATTGTTCTTCTAACAGATCCTCAGTCATAGGAGCTGGTTCCTGCAAAAGCCACAGACAGAATGCTGAAAGTTGGGATAAATACAGCTTTTTCTACTAAACTGCCGTCTCAAAATTAGGGTGTGCATTAGATTCACAGAATATGGTAAATACTTTTGGGTTTCAAGATTTTAAAAATTGAGGTGCACATTAGATTTGATGGTGCATTAGACTTGAGTAAATACGGTATGTTGAATTGGTTGAGACTTGATGATACATTAATTGAAAACCTATAGCAAAATGAGCTGCAGGACGTCCTGCAAAACAACATATTTACAGTTTAATAAACTTTTGCCATATTTTTATTATAGAACCAATTAGGAAATGACATTTATAACCCAGGAACAGTGTAATTGAAACAAGGTCACAAAAATCAGATGAGCAGAAGGCTTCTAAGTCTTTCTTTCTAACCTGTGTAACTGGAACATAGAGAGGGTCTCCAGGATGAAGCAAAGTCAAATTGCCATGTTGATGTAGACGGCCTTCTGGCTTTAACGATATAGTCTCTTTGCTGCCGTCTTTTGGGATCCCTTTCTTTCCACCTTCTTGTCCATTTGCTTTAAGATCCTCTGTGTCACTCAGGCATTCAAAAAATTCATCTTCACTGTCACTCCACGATTCCCAAGATTTTCCTACTTCTCCTTTTTCCTTATCACCTTCTTTTGAACCGTCAGGTTTTCCAGTATCACCAGAATTTACTTTTTTCCCTTCATCTCTTGCTTTCTTTCTTTCTATGCAACAATTTAACATCTGGAAGTAAACACACATTGAAAATTTGTTATGTTTATTTTATGTACATAATTCACTCTTTGGCTGAGTTACACAGCAAAACCTATCTGAGCTCAGCAGCCAGGCAGTTATACCTTGAATTCAAACCTTATGATACATTGCTGCTTCTTTAATATTTACCTGGAGTTTCTGATGCAGTAAACAACATCTCAGATCTGGAGCACCACTGGCTAACCTAAAAAGAAATTAAATTAATGTTATTAGTATTATTACAGAGGAAACTCCTACCTGATAAGGTCCCCATATGGTTCTCAGAAGAAGCAGAATATAGGGAAAAATGCACAACAAACATTGATTGAACTCTTGGGCTACACTCCAGAAATCAATTTAAGATGTCGCTGTAAATGCTTTGACCAAACACCTGTGTCTTATGCTGAAGTACAGACTAAGTCCACTTTGCCACAACCAATATTATCAGCCCAATCTTCCTTACAGGGCAACTTAAAGGACCATTTTAATTAGGTACATCAAAAGCAAATATAAATAGGTCATACTGGGTTGTTGTAGGTTTTTTCGGGCTATATGGCCATGTTCTAGAGGCATTCTCTCCTGACGTTTCGCCTGCATCTATGGCAAACATCCTCAGAGGTAGTGAAGTCTGTTGGAACTAGGAAAATGGGTTTATATATCTGTGGAATGACCGGGGTGGGACAATAGGTAATACTGTCTTATATGGAGCCAGGTTAATGTGCTGAAAACAGGATGGTCTCTGTGGAAGCACCAATATGAGGCTCTCTTTAAGCATCAAAACAGGCCACAGCACAAGCTATGGTTGCTGCACACCCCAAAGCACACTATTTTTCACAACTAAATGCCATTAGGAAGACTCACCCTGGGATGAAGATGTTGTTTTCCCATCTGAAGCGCATTTCCAAGACAAATTCCTGCCAGAGATGTGCAACTCCTTTGACCCCTCCATGGTAAAAGTTGATCATACAAAGGCAGAGAGCCAATTTGTAAGTGAGGCTGTCTGAAGGAGCCGATTTGAACTGAATGTAGAGATTCTAAACACAAGGAGAAAACAAGTAGGAGGGGGGATTAAGACAAAACAAAAATGAGTGAAAAAAGATTGTGAAGCAAACACTAAAAGTTAGTAAGCATATACTTCATTTACTGAACCTGCAAAATGCATCTCTAAATAGGATACCATGCTATCGTAAGAGAATTTTGATATTTTTTGGCAATACATATAAATTTGATTATATAATGCAATGGTTCTCAACCTGTGGGTCCCCAGGTATTTTGGCCTACAACTCCCAGAAATCCCAGCCAGTTTACCAGCTCTTAGGATTTCTGGAAGTTGAAGGCCAAAACATCTGGGGACCCACTGGTTGAGAATCACTGATATAAGGACCAAGGCTAATAGAGGCAAAGGGCTTACATATTAAAAAAAACTATCCTTTTATTTTTAAATAATGGTTATAATAGACTCATATTCATAGCTCCACAGATGCACATCTGCATTTTGCTTTTCCTTTATTAAGCCATTAAAATGTAGTACACAATTCTTTACTTCTGCAGTTTAAACTTACATAGTCTTCATTGTCTGGGGGAGGAAGGCTTCCTGCCGATGTACTTCTTCGGGCTTCAGATACATCTGTTAATTTATCAGCAGCATCGGGGAATAAGTACTTAAGGGGAAAATTCACAGAGTCAGCTTTCAAACAGAATGGCCATCCTGACATTTTTTCATAGGCATTAGGTACATCAACAAAACACTATCGATAAATGATTACTAAAAATACTTAGATCCTTGATGCTCTGATATTTAAGTGCTCAGGTATTGAAAAAAACAGTCCTTCTCAAAACCAGGTGCTGCTCACAGTATACCAGGCACAATAAACAAAACAATGGCAATACCAGTAGCAAAAAGAGAACAACCAATGTACTTAAGAGGAATACTCTTCTTTTAAAGAAACAACAAGGAGATAACTGAACTTCTGCTGGCAACAACCTCTGAGTATCCCTTAATATCAACAGGGTATCAAACACTTGAATTCCCACTATGTTTTTCAGTCTTAAGCTTGCGTATTTTAGGGGCACCAACACAAAAGGGTATATTGCAACTGGGCAATCTGCAAATGACCAAGGAATGTGTAACCAAGATCACCTTATCTCAAAGACAGTACAGTTGAAACACCAAAGCTGGATAAAGGCATTCAGCTTTACGAGAATGTATATTCAAACATAAAGTATTACCATGGAATTGAACAGATTAACTTACCAAAAGAATAGTATTGAGGACATCATTATTTAATGGTGACTCATCTATACCTCTGTGTTTACGAATCTTTTTCTTGGCAGTGTGAACCATATTTGTCACTGACAGTTTATGGATTGGGACTGGTGCTGGCTCCGTGAGCTTTGACAAAGCATGGCTTATATCGGCATCTATAAATATCAAGATGTGGCAAAATAAGACCACAAATTATTTGTAATCTACATTTATGTCCTCATTACCTTCTCCTAACTGCTCCTTAAAAAAGAATACAAATGAAAGGCTGCTTTGCTAAATCTGAGTGTGCCATCTGCTGCTTGTCCAGGAAAAAGGCTACAGAAAATATGATAAAGTAACTGTGCATACCCTGCAAAAACTGGTCAAACTGCAACACTGGGACCAGTGACACTATGACTTTCTCTACAAACAGATATCCTCACCTGAGTTATCTCTCATCAAATATGAGGAGTAAGGTCCATTAAACTTAAAATAAGACAAAAAAGGCCTTAAACTTTTAAGCAATGAAATACAAGTCTACAAGTAACTCAGAGTTATTCTGAGTTATTCCCAGGATCTTCAGAACCAGAGAGAAAAGTTATTCTTCTGGTATTACGTATTCCTTGCCGAGCCTGGACAATAATGGGAAATAACCCAACTGAGGATGGCTCCTTCTACATACAAGAGCCTTGCCTAACTTGGACGTTCATGGCAGCATTCAATGTGACAATCCAAGATGAAATATTTTTGCTTGAAAATAAGTAAAAAAATGGATTAAATGTAAGAGGAATAAAAATACAATTTTTCTAAGGAAGGGGAAATTGTTTTACATGAAGATGTTTTAAAACAGTAACTCAGATACTGCCATTCCATTCTCTTGGTTTTGCTTCCACAACGGTGTACACCTGACATACTTCAACAATCACAATGACCAAGAAAATGACCTTTCAAACTCCTACCTTTTCCATCCTCTTCAAATGCTGATCTTCCCAGAATTTCATCAGTTGATTCTTTCCGGCGACAGACTTTGAAAAATTCAGTAACAAAATCACCTATGAACAGGGAAGGGGGAATCATTTAAATCCATGATGAGATACTACATGATTAGTTTTTCTACTGAGATTCTGTTTTTCATTGTAATTTAGCTGGCATGCCTAATATGGCTTGACAAAAAATAAAGTGTGAGAGGTCAATCACAATTCCTACAGAAATTTCAGTGCATATAAGCACTAACTGAAGCTACAGAATGCAACAATGTCACGTGATATCAGTGTCAGTATGGAAGCCTATGAGAGAACCTTGTAAATTCAAGATAATACACTTTCTTAATGAAAATACTCAAAAACCTTAATAGAAAAAAATCAAGAGATATAAACTTTAGGTCACTTACTCAATAAGCACTGTGGATTATCTGCTTTTCTAACTCTTACGGACCACTGAGGTGCTTGAAGAGGATCCAAGTCTCTAAAAACAGATAAACGTTATGTTGAATGCTGCATCAAACATAAATATTGAAGCTAGCAACCTCAAATATTTCCATATTATTAATAAACAAAACAAATCCTCAATTTTTTTATCCATTTACCTATTTTTTTCTTACTCTAACTCTGTTTTAATTATCTCATTGCAAATTCAAAATGAACCTATATTTCTTGCACAGAGCCAGGCTCACAAGATGAAATATTTGGTTTTTTTCCTTTTATATATTTCAGAATTAGTGGTATTTTTCATTTTGACTATCAAGGCCCTTTAATTACTACTACATTTTCTCATGATGAGATACTGCACATGAAAAGAAATTTGTTTCTAGATCTGGAGTGAGCAAAGCACACTCCTCCAGAGATTGTTGGGTTGCAACTCCCATCATACTATGCTAGCTAGCATACCCAATGGAGAGCGATTTGGGGGAGTTCAAATCTAACAGTTCTCAAATGCAATGCATAGCCCACCTTGGCTCTAGGTGTAAATCATTCCAATATTGGAGTCCCCGGTAGCCCAGTGGGTTAAACCCCTGTGCTGGCAGGACTGAAGACCAACAGGTTGCAGGTTCAAATCCGGGGAGAGCGCAGATGAGCTCCCTCTATCAGCTCCAGCTCCTCATGCAGGGACATGAGAGAAGCCTCCCACAAGGATGATAAAACATCAAAACATCCAGGCGTCCCCTGGGCAACGTCCTTGCAGACGGCCAATTCTATCACACCAGAAGCGACTTACAGTTTCACAAGTCGCTCCTGACACAACAACAAAAAAATTCCAACATTCTGTTTATTATTAAAACAGCAAAAAGTAGGTAGAAGCAGAAGGGAAAATACACAATGAATAAAGAAATGGAAAGAAAGTGTATATAAAATAATAAACACAGACAGTGTGTTCACTAAAGTCTTACTCATGACCATTTCAATAATATATGTTCTAGACCAGTGGTTCTCAACCTTTCTAATGCCGTGACCCCTAAATAAAGTTCCTCATGTTGTGGTGACCCCCAACCACATTTTCGTTGCTACTTCACAACAGTAATTTTGCTACTGTTATGAAATGTAATGTAAATGTCTGATATGAAGGATGTATTTTCATTGTTACAAATTGAACATAATTAAAGCATAGTGATTAATCACAAAAACAATATGTTTGGGGGAGTGTGGGCAACGGATGATGGGATCTGAAGTACCTTCAACTGATGCAGCTCTGACTTCCAGAGACCACTGAGACACCCCCCCCCCCCCCCCCCCCCGAAATACAGGCTTGGACCAAACTTGGCATACAGAACCCTAATGACCAACAGCAAATACTGGAGGGGGTTGGGGGGAACTGATAGTGAATTATGGGAGAGGTAGTTCACCTACATCCAGACAGCACTGTGAACCCAAATTACTATGGATCTGGACAGAACTTGGCACAAATAGTATGCTCAAATCTGAAGACTGGTGGAGTTTGGGGAAAATAGACCTTGGCATTTGGGAGTTGTTGGGATGTATAGTTCCCCAGCCATCAAAGAGCATTCTGAAATTCAACCACAATTAAATTGGACCAAACTTGAGCTGTGTGGAAGGGGCCTGGGTTCTCTGAGGCCCCAAATAACCCAGGCCCCTTCCACACAGCTGAATGAAATCCCGCACTGGCATTTGGGTCCTCTTCCATACAGCTGCATAAAATACACACTGAAGTGGATTATCTGGCTGTATGGACACAGATAATCCAGTTCAAAGCAGATAATGTGGGATTTCATTCAGCTGTGTGGAAGGGGCCTGGGTTATTTGGGTCCCCTTCCATACAAATGCATAAAATACACACTGAAGTGGATAATCTGGCTGTGTGGACATAGATAATCCAGTTCAAAGCAGATAATGTGGGATTTCATTCATTTGGGGAAAATAGACCTTGGCATTTGGGAGTTGTTGGGATGTATAGTTCCCCAGCCATCAAAGAGCATTCTGAAATTCAACCACAATTAAATTGGACCAAACTTGAGCTGTGTGGAAGGGGCCTGGGTTCTCTGAGGCCCCTTCCATACAGCTGCATAAAATACACACTGAAGTGGATTATCTGGCTGTGTGGACACAGATAATCCAGTTCAAAGCAGATAATGTGGGATTTCATTCATCTGTGTGGAAGAGGCCTGGGTTATTTGGGTCCCCTTCATACAGCTGCATAAAATACACACTGAAGTGGATTATCTGGCTGTGTGGACACAGATAATCCAGTTCAAAGCAGATAATGTGGGATTTCATTCATCTGTGTGGAAGAGGCCTAGGTTAGTTGGGGCCCCTTCCATACAGCTGCATAAAATACACACTGAAGTGGATTATCTGGCTGTGTGGACACAGATAATCCAGTTCAAAGCAGATAATGTGGGATTTCATTCATCTGTGTGGAAGAGGCCTAGGTTAGTTGGGGCCCCTTCCATACAGCTGCATAAAATACACACTGAAGTGGATTATCTGGCTGTGTGGACACAGATAATCCAGTTCAAAGCAGATAATGTGGGATTTCATTCATCTGTGTGGAAGAGGCCTAGGTTAGTTGGGGCCCCTTCCATACAGCTGCATAAAATACACACTGAAGTGGATTATCTGGCTGTGTGGACACAGATAATCCAGTTCAAAGCAGATAATGTGGGATTTCATTCAGCTGTGTGGAAGGGGCCTGGGTTATTTTGGTCCCATTCCATATAACTGCATAAAATACACACTGAAGTGGATTATCTGGCTGTGTGGACATAGATAATCCAGTTCAAAGCAGATAATGTGGGATTTCATTCATCTGTGTGGAAGGGGCCTGGGTTATTTGGGTCCCCTTCCATACAGCTGCATAAAATACACACTGAAGTGGATTATCTGGCTGTGTGGACATAGATAATCCAGTTCAAAGCAGATAATGTGGGATTTCATTCAGCTGTGTGGAAGGGGCCTGGGTTATTTGGGTCCCCTTCCATACAGCTGCATAAAATACACACTGAAGTGGATTATCTGGCTGTGTGGACATAGATAATCCCCAACAGCTAAGACGTTTCTTACCCAGGGAGCAACCAGCTGGTCCACTCACTAACCTTGCAGCAACAACAACAGGCAGAGCCTTCGAGCCAGGGAGGGGGGAGGCGGGGCAAGGCAGCAGGACCCTTTTCCTCTTCCTCCAGTTGCCCATCGAGGAGGACGAGGAGAAGGGACACTGCTGCAGTTTCTCCGCTTCTTCCTCTTCCATGGCCAGTTGGAGGAGAAGAAACAGCAGCAGAGCCCCTTCTCCTCTTTTTCCTTCTCTTTCTCCTTGATGGCCAGCTGGAGGAGGAGGAGCAAGAAGAGGAAAAACAGCCGCAGCAGCCCCTGTGCGGCCTCCGCGGTTTCTCCTCTTCTTCCTCCTCTTCTTCATGGGGGAACTGACCTTTGTTTTGGTGAGTTGTAGTTCACCCACACCAGAGAAATTGACCTCCCCCCATGATGGTCCTGGGTCAAACTTGGGCAGCAAGAGCCAGCCCATATGGGGAGCCTTCCACTCGACCCCCACCCCTTCTAAGCTCACGGGGAGGGGAGGGCCCAAGAAGGTCTCCAAAAATAGTGTACCTTCTCCCTTGCGCGCCTTTGCCTCTAAGCTCCTCCTCTTGACTCCATGCAGCCTTGTGGGAAGAGGAGGAGGAGCCGACCTCGAGTGCCTGCATGTTTGGCTGGCACAGGGGCCGGCAGCCATTTTGGAGGGGGCGGGGCTAACCGAGGTGCCTTCGCGACCCCCCAAAAATGACCCAGCGACCCCCCTGGGGGTCGCGACCCCCAGGTTGAGAACCGCTGTTCTAGACACAGGAAAAAATTGACTTTAAAAACAAAGCTTTAGATCTTTAAGCTTATGAAAACCAATACAATGGCTAACCAATACTTCGAAAAGAAGCAGTAAGAAAGCCACCTTCTAATATTTGAAAAATGGTCATATACAGCATAAGTCAATTTTGTTTTCTGTAATTGTTGAGGTTAGAATTTATCTAAACAGCAGGGAAGAGGTTTTTGGAGGTATGAGTCATTTTAAGGCGAAGGGTTAATATCCACTCATCTACCACTGAGTTGGGGAAGAATACCTCAAATTATGTCTCAAGACATTCAAATACTCTGATTCTGAAACACTGCGTGACAAACAAAAGCCTCATATAGTTTGTTTTAACAAGGAATTCCTGGATGATGTTTCCTATTAAACAATATACACATAGGGGGGAAAGCCAACATGGATACTACAGTACTTACTACTCATTATGTAACAAAAACTTGCCAACTAGGTTACTTGGATTCTTTAAAAGGGCACAATCTTGAAGCATGTTAATTAGATATTTGGCTTAGAAGAACAAATAAAAGCAATGTACTTACGAGTAAACATCATTGTCTACAATTATGCCCTCTGTTAGATGAGGCCATGTAGTTGCTAAATGGAGTTCACTAAAAAAAAAGACAGAAGGAAGTACACTACTAAACCAAGTTAAAAAATCATGACACAAATGCTGGCAATGATTTAGATACAAAACTAGACATGTGAAATGTCTAAAAGCTTTCGATCTAATTGATGAATCTATCTGCAGATGTGGCAGGAAAGAAAACTTGTGCATTTTCCTTCTCCCATCCTCAAGGGCATAAATGAACACACATGCCCACTATCCTACTTGCTTCAAGGTATCTCCAGACTATCTTAAATTAAAACAGTTAAGACAGTGCCTGTGACTCTAACATCATTCCTTTTCTTCTCCTTTATGGTTTCGGCACCTCTGAAGAAGCCAGTGGAACTCTGAATGCCAACATAATATATGTATTTTCGACAGTTTGGTTGACCAATAAAGGTATCACATTTCTGTGGATTTTGTGGCATTTTGTTGTTATTGTTTTATTTCTTGCCCACCTTGTGGCGGATTACAACATAACTAAAATACTATTGTGAATGGCTCCCTAACCATGCAACAGCAGTTTTATAGAGGGCATAAAGGACTGAAGAGAGAGGAGGAAATATCTCTCCACTACACATGTTTAGCACTGAGAACATCCCAAACCAAACTTTTCCTGCTGGAACTACCCAAACTGAAATTCAAGACTTAAGACTACTGGAGAGATATTTCCTCCTCTCTCTTCAGTCCTTTACAATACAATTTTGTTCCTGCCATTAACAAATAGCATGTGTGTGTTTAAAGGACTGAAGTAAGTATATATGCCATTAACAAAAAGCACGTATATTTACTTTAATCCTTTAAATACATGGATGTAAGAATTAAATCTTCTCCTGGCGACATACAGCACAGCTGAAGTTAGAGCAGTTTCCCTTAAAGTTCCATCTGTTGTTGATGTTGTTTCTGAGTGTTCCATTACAGCACAGGGGCAAAAGTATTCAATTTCTTGGAAAAATACAAGTTTTAAGTGCAGTACCACAAAACCTGCTGTTTTGGGTAACAAGCAGATCTGAAAAGCTGTACGCATATTTGCTATATGTTAAGTTACAACAAATTACATGAATTAAACTACTGAACTACTATATGGCGAAGTGCTTGCAAGTTGGCATTTGTAAATAAGCAAAGACAATTTCATTTGACTACAAGGCCTGTATATTTATCATACTAGATCGTACCTGATAGGATCCTCACAGGCACCAAATGGCAACTTTCCAAATTCAAGGCCTCCAACTTCTCCTCCAACTAAAGCATCAATATCTATTGGCAAAACATGTTGCACGTTACATCAGCATGGGGGGTAACAGCATTCGTTTATTTATTCTGTGTCAAATGCATGGCATACATAAGTATAAAACTGATAAAAATAGAAGGAGAACAAGTAGCTAAATAATTTTTAACCAAAATTTTATTAAACAATGGGTTAAATACAATTTTATCCCAATTTCAGTTAGATCATTAAAATTGACGGGACTTAAATTGGTGTTGATTAGCAAGTTTAGTTCATTTAGATAGCCCTATTCTTGTTAAGACTATAATTGGATTTAGCTCAATATCCTAGAACAGATAGTAATCCATATGATCCAGTAAAGGATAAAGTAGCCACCATAAACAGTCTTAATCTCCTAGTTGCAAATAAAATGGTCAAATAACTCTTCCAGCACACAGAATTTCCTTAGAATCACAGAAACAGGCATCACTTGATATAGATTATGTTTCGATTTACCAAATAAGTCAAAGGTAGGCAGCATGCAGTCTGTAGATACCCTCTCCCAGTTTTGTGGTCTCATTGCCGGGTTTGCCACTGCACTCCTGCAATTTAGCAATGACAGCACAACAGCAAAAACAAGCAATGCACCTGAAGACATACAGGAATGTCCCCTTCCACTACAGCTGCAAAAAAAGCTACTTCTCTTTGAAAATGAGACACAAAGTCACAAAAAGTGTGTGCATCATGTTTGAAAATCACATTATGACTCTCAGAAGCTATCCAAGCAATCCTTATTTGAGGGATCATCTGTTTATAACTACATTTACATTCGAGAAAAGGATGGCGTTCTACATCAGAAAAGAATTTTACAAACAGATCAAGGAATTCTCTTTAAAAAATCAACTTATACATTGTCAATAGGAAAACACTACTAAGCATTTCAAAACTTTTAAGAATGCCTCTGTTCTACTGGAACTTTCACATGCCAGCATAGTAACATGCTTCAAAAATACCAACATCTTGGCCTTATTACATCTAGCACTGTTTTAAAACTCTCAATTGCAAAAGCAGCTAATCACACACAAAGAAGGGGACAGGAGGTGGAAAGCTGCTATTACAGCTTTCTACCTGGATTATTTTATGTACTAAGTTCCACTAACATCAAATATTTATAATACAATAAAATTGTAATATCTCACCTGGTGGCTGTTGAGGCCAGAAATACTGTTGCCAATCCTGAAGTACATATGTAAGTCTAATACTTATATTTATCGGAGGTAATGGAGTTAATGGACAGCCCTAGAAGACACATGAAAAAATCTAAATAGGACATGAAAACAAATTTGAAAAGAGAATTTCAATATTGCTATAATTTATTGAACTGGACCAAAGTAAACAACAATTATTCATCATTATCTTTTTGAAACATCCAAACCAAACTGTCTAATATTTAACATGTAAATATGAAAACAGTAACAAAAAGCTGGTCTATTGACTGCAATTAGATGCTGAAGAACATTTCAGCTTCAAAAATGTTGCTTGTGGGAGACACACATATATTAATAATCATCCAAAGTTTGTATTATGTTGACAAGATCTAAATTATTTCTGTGGCTATATCTGCATGTACCCATGAATCTGAACAGATCCCACGAATATCTCATCTGCATGATCTACCAAAAGCTGCTTAGTCATTCTGTTTTGGCATGTTGCAAAATCTAGGCTGAATATAAGTTACAGACATAAGAAACATTTGCTGGCTTCTGTAAAAATAATCTTGGCATATACACCCACACAGTTATACTTACAATCTTTGATTTGAAAATGTCCAAGAGTCCTGACAAATGAGTATACTGACTGGGCACTTTGCGAAGATGAACCATTTCAAAATCTGTCCTGACTCCAGGACCTTGACACTCTCCTATGTACATTCTTCGCCATTTATGATGAATCTGCACAAATACTGGCACCTGGCTGCAAAATGGTCAGAAGATTTAAAATGTTTTAAGCAGAAGCTATCTAACAAATAGAGTGCAATCAGATCATATAATTTGCCATGTATATAAATAAAAATGCAATGTTTGTTTGTGGGATTAACATAACTCAAAAATGACTGGACAAACTGACACCAAATTTGGAGAGAAAACACCTAACAACTCAATGAGTGGCAATCACTTTTAAAAAACAACAACCAAAAGTGTAAGGAACTTTAAAACCCTAAAACGATAAAATAAGGTACAGCGCATGTACGAAAATGACTCCCATGGCCCTGCCCCTCTCCTGCACTAGGGGAAAAAAACAAACAGCTACAGAGAGCATGGAAGGCTCTGGTGGGCTGGGCAGGCAGACCCTCGGCTTCCCCAGGCCCCCGATTTGGGCCCCCTTCTCTCTCCCACCCACCACCCAGCAGGGCCCCTTCCTTCACTTTGGGCCTATCCTCCTCTACCACGCTGGAGTCTTGCATGGACCCTCCTTACCTCCCAGTATCTGTCCTCTTTGTTGGCCCCACCAAACACAGACCCCTTCTCCTTTCTTTCCCCCTGGTGAGGCGGGCAGGCGGCTGCTCCATGCAAGCACTGCTCACCAGGCTTTGCTTTCCCTTGCCTAGGCGCCAACGGGAAGGGAGCTTTGCAGCCCTCAGCCTTGCTGGGCCTGGCATGAGGCGCTTTCCGAGATGGGCCTTGCTTGCCCAGCACTGGACCCTTCTTTCTGCTGCAGCCGCAGGATGCCCTTCATGTGATCCCAAACAGGTGGGAAGGCGCCCCGCATCAACGGCAGAAAGAAGGGGCCAGCACCAGGTGAGCAAGGCCCACTTCCACAAGCAGCTCCCGCCCACCCCATGCTGGGCCCAGGAAGCCCAAGGGCTGCAAGGCTCCCTTCACGCTGGTGCCCAGCCAAGACATATAGAAGGAAGGAGAGAAGATAGAAAAAAAAGAGAAGGAAGGAAAGAAGAATGGAAGAATGGAGAGAAAGAAAGAGGAAGGGAAAGAAAGAAGGAAAGAGAGAAGGAAGGATGGAAACAAAGAGTGAAGGAAGGAAGGAAAGAAGGAAGGAAGGTGGTAGAGAAGGAAGAAAGAAGAGAAAGGGATGGGAAAGAAAAAGGGGGGAGGAAGGAAAAAGGTAGAGAAGGAAGGAGAGAGGGAGGGAAGGAAGATGAGAAAGAAAGAGGTAGGGAAAGTTGGCCACAGCAATGCGTGGCGGGTACAGCTAGTTGTATTTTAAATCTATTGGCCAGGAGACCAAATTATTCTTGAGATTATGTTAGAACAAAACACGATTTCAATTAATATAAAATAATCAAATTTAGCTTCGCAGAACACATCCACACATTAAAAGTCAACTGCATTTAGGTAAATATATCCAATACATATGTGGTTACCAATATACGCTTTTCAAACTGTTTCAACTTTAAAACAGTATGGCAACAAGACAAAATTTATTTACAAATGCCATTAATGGACATTTAAAATGCCACACCTAATAATTCCACATCACAAAGTCCTGCTCTCCCAAGTATGAAGAAGGTATCTGGATCATTAATCTGAAAAGATAATTTTCTAACTGGGATTATAATCTATATATTTAGAGGGATATTGGATGAGATAATAAATAAATATATCTTTATGTAAGCATGTTTTTTTCTCTTTTGTTCAGAAGACAACAGCTATCTCAGATTTGAAACAGGAAGCTTCTTCATTCATACAGCCAGCTGAATATTTTCTCTCAGCAGAACTACATATGCATCAACAGCCAAATATCACTACCGCTACTCACCATCCTGTGTTCCCCAAAGCAATAGAAACTGAACTCAAGAGAAGATTACACTTGGATTCACTAAGAACTGCATCATTATTTGCTGCTGGTGCAATAACTACAAATTCACGCAAACCATACCTAGAACAAAAGCAACAAAATTATGGATAAATATTCAATTCTAAAATACACACTGCATTGCCATTGGTATCAGCATATGAATAATTATTTTCTCTTTCAACTGCTTATTCATGTTCCATGAACATTTGTTCAAGGGAAGCCTAAATTAAAGAAACGTGTCTTTTTATTTATTTACAACGTCTTGGATCAAGACTTTACCCTTTATTTTTAAAACAGAAGAATATATGGTACTGTTGTGCCTTTCTGTAAGCCGCCCTGAGTTCCCCTCGGGGGTTGAGAAGGGTGGGGTAGAAGTACCCGAAATAAATAAATAAATGTTTTATTATTTGGGCAGAGGCCAAAAGGGGGAGCTAGACAGAGAAAGATAGTCTATGGGGGGGGGGGGGGGGGGGGTGTGGAGGAAAACCATCACCCCCTCCACCCTCTGCTGGTTATTTCCCGTCTCCATTTCCCATTTCATAAAGATGGCATGACGGTGGCATTGGTTGGGGGAATTAGTAGGAAAACTGGGATAAATGGTTTTACTCCTTCAACCCCCTCCATCTCTATCTAGGCCCCCTTTTTGGCCTCCGCCCAGATAATGGAACAGTACCAAATATACAACAACAGGGCGATAAGAAGGGGGCCACAGAATGAGTTTCATAAATTTGTTCTTTCTCCAGCAGGCCCTAGTACTTCTTCCTGACCTTGTAAAACACATCTAGCCATATGAAATACCATCCAACAAGATTGTTCTCTGGGTGATTCTACAGGATTGATATTGTTATTATATTGACGATGTTATAAAAACTGCATGTATTGTCATCAACAGCAGGTTTTATGAAAGTGCAAGCCCAGTTTGTGGGCTATTTCTATTTTTTTTTTTTCATTTTTCTCCTTCAGCACAGCACCCTCTATGCTTTCATTTACAGTTCATCGATGTTTACTATTGTATCCGAAGCCAATTAACTAGGGTTCATTGAAACAAGTCACGTTCACAAACTATGGGGTAAATTTTGCTTTTTTCCATAAAGTAAGAGGCAGATACTGGAGGACACTCATCAGAATCCATGGGGGTGGGGGGTCTACTAGTGTTCAATAGATGATGTTCATTTTTTGTTTTGTTTTTATTTTAGAAAAAGCCCAATGCATCACATACATGTGCATTTCAATGGCTTATTCAGGCTAGAAAAGTTCCAAGTGCATTTTAATTTTCCTATTTTATTATCATTTGTTTTAATGCAGCCCCTGAAGAAGGCCACTGAAATATATACATAAGCCAAAACACGTTGGGCTTTGGGGGAAAGAAACCCATGGAGAATAAAGCCCATCTCCTCAGCACTTAGCGATGTATCGCCCCCTTTATTCTTGTGGATTCCATCACCTTAGGAATTGCGATGCTTTAGTAATTCTATATGCAACCTACTGCAAACGGCATGTTCGTGTGTCTCTAACAACATATCATATGCTCTACAACTATAATTTAGGTGAAGAAACAAAATATAATACATTAAAATACAAACATACCATCTTACTAGGCAATGAGCTCTGGGAGGAAAATCATTGTTCATACAGAGAAGGTCTTGCATAGAAACTGGAAGTACATCTGTTAAAAATTTTAAACATTAGTTCTCCACATTTAAAAATAGTGGAAAATGTGTACGCGTAAGATGCAAAGCAGAGGACAGACTAAAATTGTTTTCATTTAATAAACAAGTTTATTGAAACTGAGTTGGATTCAAATTGAATAAGATTAGGCTGGTGGAAATATACTTCCTTGACTCCTCCCATCCAAAACAACTCATCTGAGTTGTTGAGACACATAGGAATCTCCCTTATAGCTAGACATCATCGGCAGCAGCTGTCCAAGGTTCCTAAAAGGGTTTTCCCCCAGCTCTTTCTACAAATCCCTCATCTATCCTGGGGGTGCCTACTTCAAGTATTAACCAGGCCTGACCCCAGTCAGCTTCTGAAAGCAGACAAGACTGTGTTTAAGGTGGTATAATGATCAGAGTTGAAGAACCATGCTGATGAGTAAGCTCTGCTGCAGTTTTTGGTTAGAGAAAGGTTTCCTAACAAAACATGCATACGTCAGCTTGCAAAGACTGCAATTTTAACCTTTTTTTTTACCCTGGAGAAAGCCTAACAAAACATGTATACTCAAAAGAAAAATCTCAACACTACAAAGAAATAACCATGAAAAAATGTATTGTGTATTGATGCAGATTAAGATATTCTCTAGTAATTCTCAGATCTGTATGTACTCAAGTATGTCATATGTTACAGAAGTCATATTTCTGAAGTGGATTGTTATTTCACCACACCTATAAGACTTGAATAACGGGAACCATTCAGTCTCTAAACAAACATTTACATTCACTCTCTTGACTTGAAGACTATTTTAAAGAAATAGCAATCCTCAAAATAGCTTTTATATAATATCTTGTTATTACAAACTGAACCTGAGGTAGATTCCTTTTAATGATAACACCAAAATGGAACAGAAGACCGGATGATGAAATTCAAGTTCTTTTACTGTCTTATGTCACTTTTAAAACACCAGAAAATCAGACTCCTGATATCAAAAAGATTCTGTAGATTAAAAATAACCCACTTGTGTTTACACAATAGTGTTTCTAGGAAAGTAAAGAACTGATGTGCCTCAAAATAACAACAAAACGGCAATAATAAACAGAAGCTATTAATTCAAGATTATTTCAGCTTTAGACATGTCTACCTTCCACTAGCTCTTCTTTTGAATCCTTGTCATTTGATTCTTGCACAAGGTAATGGTGTGTAACAGAGAAACGAAAATCAGCAAAAGCAATCTCATCCGATTTTTCCTCCCATGTTTCAGTGGTATATGCACCCTGCATATTAAACAGAACTTACATTAATTATATTTTGGTAAAATAATCTGCAATATACTTTAATGCATGTCTCGCATGAACAGCGATACATATAATTCCATTGCTACTTTCAAAAACTATTTGCAAGTTTTATATACAGTTCCGCAACACAGAGGTAGAGAACTACTGCCCTACAGATGTAGACCAACTATTATTTCCATTATGTCATATTTAGTAAGACAGAAAACGGAATTCCAGAACATCTAGTGAGTAATATGCTCTCTAGCCCTGATCAACAGAATATTTTCTATTCTTACTAAGTAAGAGACATAATACTATTCCTGTTCCCTCATTTCTTTTTTCCCCTTGTTCTCCTACTGATTTACATTATTTCCCTTTTATATAGTTAAGGCATTGTGGCAGTTGTATTAGTCTCTAAATTAATCAGAAACATATGTTTTTACCTTTTCCAAAGGTTTGCCTGATGACACACCAATAAGCTTCCAGTCATTCAAAACCTCTTCAACTTTGGAAATAAATCTAATGAATAAAAGTTATAACTTTGAGATTATTTTCATGCAATAGCTATATTTATATTATTTAAAATGACAGGAGATCTTTAAGGTTACCTATGTAATGCATTTTATCCAAAACTAATCTAGCCCAATCTGACTACTTTAAATGGTTTCAGATGCTTGTCTGAGAATAATAGGTCTCCACTAAATGAAGTCACAACTCCATCTTGATTTGTCAAAAATGATAAATGGAACACAATGTCATCAGAATAATGACACATCCCAGCTCTCAGGGCCATTGCTCCTACTAAAGTAGTTCCATGTAGATGTTAAAAAACACAGGAAACAAGACTGAATCTAAAAAAAACAAACCATGAGACAATTCCCACAAAAAGGAAAGATACATGTCTCAACAAAATAAACTGCAAAGGAGAATCTTTCATTCCCATTTTGGATTACCCTGAAGCATACCACATTCAACAATAATGAAATCTGTTAAAAGATCAAGGAGAATTAGCAGGCACACATTCCGGCTCTCACTCCAACGCAGATTATGCACTGGGCTGACCACTGGCTCACAAACTAGGCCAAACACTAGGCTGTAACGCATCTAGATGCCAATGTTTGAAATCTGTGCATCTTGTTGATAAAACTATAGAACCATTAAAGAAGAACAATTAATTAAACAATAATAGTCATCAATGGAAAATAAGAGCGACTGAAGCTAACATTATGATGTGTGTATCACATTCCCTTCCTGTGCCAAGTTAGGGTATGCCATTGACAAGTTGCTTCCTCCTCCCTACTTTTAAGACTATAAGGCTACAGATCATAGGACAGCCATTCTGATGGAGTGATGCTGCAATCCTGAACACACTTACTTGGAAATCAGAAATTAAACTGTTGAGTATTTGCGCAAAAGACAGTATCCTATTTCTAGGGAAGTCTGGTGCAAATGGGTTGAAAATCAATAGGCTGTTGCTTGCTGCAAATCCACCAGTTCTCTCTTTTAACAGAACAAGGAGCCTGTTGAAGGCAAAGAATATGCTCCACTATAGATACAATCACTACCTTGCTCAGACCTCGGGCATTATCCTTTTTCAGAAGAAAAGATTTACTCAGAAGAGTTAATTCTTTGGACATCAGCTCACAAAAACCCAGTGCCAGGATGGGCAGCAGTCAGGGCTTTACTTTTGGTCTATTTCTAGGTATTCATGTAATGGGTAAGTGTTAGGTCTTTGATGTCACTCATATTTCATTTTTGAAACCAGTCTACACTATTCTACAAACCACATTTAACAATGCCACCTGCAAACCAGAGGGCTGGTAGAATCCAGCAATGCAGAAGATAAGGAAACCAAAGCAAAAGTTGACAACCATAAGGATTTACATTTCAAGTTGGGGGCTGTTTACAATTGACATATTTCAACTGTCTAAAGGTGGAAAAGAGGAAGAGACACCAAACATACACTAAATTTGTTTTGCTCTTTCCTTTCATTTTGTATGCATGGCATGTTCTCCATCATAGGAACTGGTACCTTTTAGCTAACATACAGCACAATTCTTTGATTCTGGCAATCCTGGGTGCATCTACACTGTAGACTTAATGCTTCTTTGGAAGCTTTTAAACAGAGGCTGGATGGCCATCTGTCAGGGGTGCTTTGAATGCAATATTCCTGCTTCTTGGCAGGGAGTGGACTGGATGGCCCATGAGGTCTCTTCCAACTCAATGATTCAATGTGACAGCCCTTTAATTGCCATGGCTATGGAATCATGGGATCTGTAGTTCCAGAAGACCTTTCGTCTTCTCTGCCAAAGAGGGCTGTGGTGCCTCAACAAACTGCAGCTCCCAGGATCCCGGAGAATTGAGCCAGGTCATTTAAAGGGGTGCCAAAACTGTGTTAATTATACAGTGTAGACGCACCCTTAGTCACACATAACCTGAAGAAGTCATTGCAAGTTGTGGAAAGACTTGCACAGGATGGAGCACCTCTGAAATCATTTGGGAATGCAAAACACCACAATTCCTATAAAACCAGCATACTTTTAAAAAGAGGAAAACTGCGAAGACCATCTATGTTTGCATGTCTGTCTGTGTGATGAGCCCTGTGGGGAAAGTTCAGCGGAAAGGGGCGCCTTACCTCTCCCATTCTGAGGCGGTGGTGAAATCCGTGATTTCAAAGACCTCCGACTCCGGCTAAGGAGAGAGGAAGGCGGTTAAATGGGACTGGGCCACAGAAGGGATTTGGAAAGAACATGAAGGCAAGGAAATAGGAAGGCTCCTCAGCTTACCTCACTGTCCGCCGCCATCTTGAATCGCTGCTAGCCCGCAGCTCCCCGAAAGGAATTATGGGAGAGAAGCAGGGCCAGCAAGGAGACCCGGAAGCGCCGCGAAACCGGACTGGCACGCCATTGGACGGTTGTGTACTGTGGGCGGGGCTTAGGCTCAAGTTCATTGAAAACACACACCCCTGTTGGCCAAAGAGGGCCCTTCCACACAGCCATAGAACCCAAACCCATGCCACACAGCTGAATAAAATCCCATATTATATGGCAGTGTGAACTCAGGGCCCTTCCACACAGCCCTATAACCCAGAATATCAAGGCAGAAAGTCCCACAATATCTGCTTTGAACTGGATTATCTGAGTCCACACTGCCGCCCACTTCAAAGCAGAAAATGTGGGATTTCATTCAGCAGTGTGGAAGGGGCCAGAGTCATTTCTAATTGAGTAATATTCTTTCTGAAATAGATTGTGTGCGCACTGTGGGGCTGGTCTGTCTCAATACATCAGGACTTGGAGATATTGATTCCCCAGATTTCAGTTGCAGAACCCTAGAACTGTGAGGGTTCCCAAAGACCATAAATCCAACCCCACTTCTATCAATCAAAAAATAGTTTATTGTATGGGCCCAAGGCCATGACAAAAAGCACCACACGCGCAGAATAGTACCCTCGGAGTACAGGCACCAAGTATGCTACACAGAAGGAGAAGGTGCAAGGAACAATAAAATCTATATAAATAAAAATGCAATGTTCGTTTGTGGGATTAACATAACTCAAAAACCACTGGATGAATTGACACCAAAGTTGGCCACAATATACCTATTAGGCCAACAAATGACCATCACTCATAAAAACACTGAAAAACACAATAGAAGGGACTTAAAAAGCCTTCCCCAAATAAAAAATACATTACAACACATGCACAAAACCAGTTATATACACATACACACAAATATATACACACATATATACACATACACATCAGACATATACACAGACTGGGCCACAGCAACGCATGGCAGGGGACGGCTAGTAATAAATAAGATAGTGACTGAAGTTCAAGGGTACATTCAGCTGACCTCTCACTGAAGAAGCAATTGACACAAAAGGTTGCCAGTCAGTGAAAGTACCACATCAATTACTGGAGATTACTCCATATATCTTTGCCTGGATTTCACCTTGACACCGGGTTTTGCTCTAACTCTGATATTAACATAGATTTTTGTACTTCACAAGCAAACCCACTGAGAATTTTCAGCATTTAGGTAATTTTTACAAGGGATATGTAAAGTGTTTGGGATAGTTGTTTTCCCTTAATTTTATAATTCTTATTATTTTGTTGAAGGCTTTCATGGCCGGAATCACTGGGTTGTTGTAGGTTTTTTCAGGCTATATGACCATGTTCTAGAGGCATTCTCTCCTGACGTTTCACCTGCATCTATGGCAAGCATCCTCAGAGGTAGTTATTATTTTGCTATTTGCTACTCTATAATTTCACAATTTTATTATTTACTATTTTACTATTTTTATTATTTTAGGTATCAATTCAACGAGAGATATATCTTGAATGTATTCTTCTGTTTTCCAATAATTTGAAAGTAAAAGTAGCAACGTCTTTGAACAAAACCCAGGAGTATCAAACAATTCTGACTTTGATTTTAGGCATAGTTAAACTCTCAAAGCCATAGGATGGTTTCTACACGGGCCCAGCTACGTAAAGCCTCTGCTCTTAAAACTCTGCCAACTCTTGTTCAAAAATCAGTTTCAGAATACTATGACCCAAAAAATGCTGAGAAAGAATTGATAGCAAGTGAGCACCAGTTGTATCAAGAATTCACAGATCCCTTCTAGTGCAGGCATTTATACTTCAAACACTCTTAAAAGGTGGCTATCCAGGATCTGCTCAAAAATCTCTAACAAAGTCACCACCTTCCATTAAGAGACCTTGACTATGGAACAGGTTTATCGAGGATACATTTTAAAAGCATGTATTGTTTGGTTCTGTTTTCATATTGACAATGTGATCAACACAGAAGCATCTTTTTAAAATTAGGATACATTCTGATAAGATCCATGGGGCCATAAGAAATATTGGAATGGTATAGTAATGACATGACCTTGGAGGTGTCTACAGCCAACGTCGGCTCTTCAGCTTAGAAATGGAGATGAGCACCACATCCCAGAGTCGGACATGACTGGACCTTTACCTTTACTATAGTGATTTTATATTCGCCACCAATACAAGTATAGGAGTTCCTTTTGCCTTCTTTTGTCTATTAACATATTTCAACTTGCTTTTACGTAGCTAAGAAGTGTGGGATTTCTTCCAGCAAGGAATCTACCTTGCTGCTCTTTACCTCGACCAGCAAGATGGCCTTCATTCTTTTGAAAACAGAGCTGCTATATAAACTACATTTTCCCTTTAATTTTCTGAGAGTTCTTTTACAACTCTATAACATGTTACTTACTGGCGTAATCTTTAGTTTGATTTAAGAACACAAGAAAGCCATGCTGGATTAAACCAAAGGACTGTTAAGTCAAGCATCCTGTTCACACAGAGTTGAACCACTTGCTTTGGGAAGTCTGCCAACAGGACATGGATGCCACATCTGAAGCTCCCCACCAATCCATATACTATAGTGCCACACTCTACTGCAGGTGACACATATGCATCCTGACTATGGATATAAATTATGTTAATAGTAATTATGATTATTATTTTCTGCAACTTTTTTATCTCAACCATTTTTAGTTGAATTATGTATTTCACATTCATTTATGATAGCACAAACTTTGATGAACTATGACACATTGTGATCAACAAATACTTATACCATCACAAATGTGTTGGCCTTGTACCAATGTTTGTTACTGCAGGAGATTGAATGCCCTTCTGCAAACAATTCACAGGGTTACCGAGAGAACAAGACAAGCATATCACATTCTGAAAGTACGCTTTATATGTATGATTTACTTTGACTCCAATCTTCAAAGTATTTGGATGGGTGCAATGAAGTAGTTCGAGTTGGTTCCTTATTTGTGTTCCCAGTCAGCTGAGCCGAAATGATTGATAATTCGCTGTACTAAATGCCCAGAGGACAGTTCCCTTGGTGACAGCCTGTAAACAAAACAGTCTCAATGCAGCTCTGGACACCAGAGGGGGATGTGTTAAGGAGCAGGGAAATCTTCAAAGGAAATAAGAGAGCTGCCTATGCAAGCAAGCACAGGACGACATACATGGGGTCTCTTCATTGCCTGGACAGATGATGCTGGAAGGATAACAGTCTAGGTAAGTTTGATTCTCTTCCCCTTCCTTTCCAGGAACAGCAGCAAATTACAGGCGACACACGTGAGGACAAAGGAGAGACAGAAGGGGAAGGGAATCTAGCAACATCCTTAAGATCAAAAGATTTATTTAATCTTTTCCTCAAATACAGGTGGAGTACAATATTGGAGCTGTGAATACAAACAAGGGAATGGATTGAAACACCTGTCTGTTCATGTTAAACAAATTAGATCAGTCTTAAATGTGCTGAAATATTCATTCTCCTATTTCTATTTCAGGCTTCTCTGACTTTTGAAGAAGGCACCATATTGCTTGTGCATAGCCATTCACAATAACTATATGGCTATGTTAACTGTATGGCTATGCACGTTAATTGTATGGCTATATACAAATTGTGCAAAATTTGTGTACAATCACAGCACAAATTGCATAAAAAATATCAGTGTTGACTGGAGGTTAGTATCAAGTATGGATGAACTGCTTTAGCTTCTCTTTCAAAAAGATATTATACCCCATTCCTCCAAACTTGGAAATGTGGCTTTTTACAATTGCAGCTTCCAGGATCCGTAGCAAGTGTGGGATGATATGCTAGCTGGGATATCCTTGGAACTATAGGGCAACATTTCCAAGTTAGTAATTTCTTCTACCCCTAATAAAGTGGAACCACCCATTATATTGCCTATGTATTATTATTATTATTATTATTATTATTATTATTATTATTATTATTATTAGAAATACAACAAAATTAGTACACAGCAAACAAGATCACTACACTGGCTGTTATATTGGATCACACGTCGGACACTTTCCAAGTGTCTAGGACTGTGTGATGTATCGGCGAATAATGCGTGCAGATCCCATTATTATTATTATTATTATTATTATTATTATTATTATTATTATTATTATTTCTTGCCTGCCTCTCTTCATGGCTCAAGGTGGATTACAGCATTAGTAAAACATTAAAAAAACATATAATCATTTTATGTATGCTGTATTAGCTGCTTTTCAGTGGAAGTTGCCCATGGAGTTATGCCAGAAGACTTATAAATTTCTAGAAATATGTTCTCTCAAATTAAAAAAAATTCATTTTTTCACTTTCATAGAGTTCCTATGCGAAGGAATTACTGTCGTAATTTGTAACCCTCTTGGTATGAAATATTATTAAATAGCACTGTACATTATTGGCTTTGCAATTAGAAATCTCTTTGTGTCTGATCACCACACATAGGAGAAACAGCTGTATTTCTAAACAAATCACAGAGAATCACCCAGACAATTAAGACAGCCACACTACTTTAAATACTTACATAAGCAAGGAAAATTTTTCTTCTACTTTTCTACTTGTGCTTGAAATACAGCCCTAGATGTTCACTTCAAAGAAATATTTCAGGTTTTAATTTTTATTTTCTCAAGGTATTTGTCATAAATGGTTGCTCACTTTTCTCTCTTCATTAATGCAACCGGGGGGGGGGCAATGTAAAGCACTACACAGCCCAGCGGTGGGAAGGTGTTTTCATAGCACAGCAGGAGGGCCATGAACATTTTCTGTTTATTTAAATGTTGGCCAATTATATCTTGTTATTTGGAAGTGGAGTGAAACTGGAGTGTACTACCACCAATGTTTACAGGACTTTTATTTATGTTTCATTATGCAAGACTCGCCTAACTTTATTTTTTGTGTGTTATTTTCGCTCCCATACCAAATTTTCCGTTTAAGAAGTACTGCTCAGGGACCTATGTACATAGTTAACTGAGGTATACCTGTACATCCAAATGTAATGTGTATTGAACTTCTGGGTATGTCAATTCATTTTCTTTACACATATGTTAAAAAGGACACACAGATCAACTGAAGATCTAGAATAAGTTTCAGCACATCCTTGTTATACTGTCAATGTAATAGGAGCCCCGCAGCAGGCAGATGCTGAAAGCACCATATGCCCAAATTCTCAGCTAAATAGCCCATTCTTTAGCCATATGCTAGTCTGTCTGAAAACACAGCAAGACAGCCGTTATTTATTGCAATGTAAGTAAAACCACCTAAGTCTTCGATTTCAGAGTATTGTTGTCAAAGCACAAATATAATGGCTGAAAGGAGGAACTGTGTTATATATTGGTGAATGACAGGTGGCTAATACAGAATATCAAATCACAATACACAGTTTAGGCTTACTTTGTTTTAGAAAAATTAGAATCCGTAAGCTAGTAAATAAATGCAGGTGATTTTCCATTGTGATATAATATCAGCATTAACTATGAGATGCCAGAATACATTGTGTGGAGAGAAACTGTCAAAATGATTTAAGTGTCTTGTCAACCACTATAAAAATGCAGTATGCAAATATCTTGTCAAGTTCTTAGGAAAGAAATGAGTATGTGGATCATACCATATATTTTATCCTCTGCAACCTTGTGAAGTATGTGTATTTATTTACTTATTTACAGTATTTATATTCTGCCTTTCTCACCCCGAAGGGGACTCAGAGCGGATCACAGAACACATATATGGCACATATCCAATGCCATTATGCACTAACAAGGCAGGCAACTGTACATAGATAGAGGTATACATAGGCTTTCCCATCTTTGGCATTTTGGAGGCTATGGTCAGTTCCGGCCATTGATGAGGTATGTGTGTGCTGTCACGCCATTTTCCCTGCCAAAGAGCTTTGTTTGTAAACTTCCTCCTTGATTGAATCACTGGCATTTTTATGGTATTTCCTTATGAGTGACTTAAATACCTCCTGCTTTTAAAGCAGTACCTGCTTATCTACTCACATTTGTTTTCGAACTGCTAGGTAGGCAGAAGCTGGGCTAAAGGCAAGGAGCTCACCCTAATTCAAGCTTCAAACTCTCAACTTTTTGATTGACAAGATTGACTACAGCTGGTGGTTAACCTGCTGTGTTAAAGCCCAGCCCATGTTAGTCTATAAGACCAAATTTGACCTAATGAAAGCTACTGATCGCTATCCAAATAACTCAGGCAGCAAAATGGTCTGATGTGGGAGATCAGCCAAAATAAATGCTGTTTTTCATGTAAAATTGGAAGTGTATCCAAATATGTAATATGCCAAAGAGTCCATTCAAAATGGTTTTGCACAGTAAGTGGGATCCAATGACAACTGAACTAATTTCTTAAACATTATGGTTCATTAAAACTGTTGTTCCCAAACAGCACTACTCTCATGTTACATGGCAAAAATCTTTGGAATTTGCAGGAAATTTTAAAACTTAGTTTGCAACATAGCATAGAGATAAGTAGCTGATAACAAAACAACCCAAACATTTGAATGGGATACTCCAAGCCCTTCAACATTAACCTAATATAGATTTTGGATTTCAGTTTTCCCAGTGACATTTTATTGACTTTTAAAGATTAAACAGTAAACAGATATGGTATGCTTGCCAATGGGTCCCGGAACAGGAGAGCAAGCTCCCTGAACTAAGTGGGGTGGGGGTGGGGAGGTGGGGTGGAACCTTTGAGGTGATTAGAAAAGCTTGGCCCAACAAGAATCTTACGTAGTTGATGCCTCTCTTGAATGATCAATAAAACGTACTGAATTATATTTAGCTTGATATTGTTTTCAGATGCTTACCATCTTGACTTGTGCTGCTACTGATGTTTTGCATAGTTATGTGTTCTTGTTTTATAAAGCCGTATCTGCAAGTAGGCAAAATTAATAAATGCCTGCCTGTCAGTGTTATGCCCCTTCATCCTAAAAACTGTTCCCCATCTTTGCCTAAATATTGTTAACAAATGCTTCCATGTTAAATATGGCTCGCATTTCTAAATGCATAGATCTGTTGCAAGCCTCAGAAGTGAGGCTTGTGGCATATGTAAAAAAAAAAACACAAATAGTTCACGTCTGATCAGCCCACACACTGCCTTGCCAGAGAAAGAAAATATGCCACGCAGGTGAACAATAAAGAACAAGTAGTTTAGTCTTCGTAAATTCAGAACAACATATGTACAATGTGATCAGTTGCATCAACTCATATAATGTCCTTTTATGAGAGGTTTAAAATAGTCTTCCTTTGTCTATTTGAATAAACTCCTTCAGCAGCTCATGAAGCAAGAGTACACTCCAATCTCTCTCTCTCTCTCTCTCTCTCTCTCTCTCTCTGCTTCTCTCTTCAAAACTGTCTCTCTCTCTGAACTCACATAGCTCAAGACAGAACAAAAATGTAACAGTATCCAAAAGTCCCAGGCTTAGTCTGCTCCCCAGGCATTGCCCGACCAGTCAGCTTCATGCTTCTTATTTTAAAGTTGACACACACACATTAACTGATGCCTTGCATACTCCAAAAAACTGAGTCTCACAACAACTCTTATCAAGTAGTATCCATGCTTAAATTAACAACCTCAAATGTAAATACTGATTCATTTGTATATTTTCTTTAATCTACAGCTTAGACTCTGACACCAGAGACGAAATGGTGCATCTTCCTCTTCTAAAAGAGAATGCCAAGAAAAAGACTGATAGTGATGAGTTTCCATGTACTTCAAACTCTGGTTCTTGTCCTGCAAAGCATATTGATCCCCAGTCAGATAACCAGAGGCAAAAAGACCAGTCTGAAAAGCCAGTTCCCAGCGCTGTGACTGAAGCTCTCTCTTTGACTCGATATTCACATGTATTCAATCAGGATAATTGCGGTATTACCTCTGGTTACCCTGAAGGACAAGACACTGAAAACCATTTGGATGCAGATATAAAAAATGAAGACCACAGCATCAAAACACAAAATATTTTAGTAACCACTGAGAACGTAAGTGTTATATACATAGGCCACAGTTTAGATAATTCCAATCCTTATTTCAGCCTAAATGAAATAGTGCCAATATCAGGTGAAGAATGTGAACATTATTGCCCTTCAAAACATCCAGAGATTTTGAAGGTCAAGAACTGGAAAAATAATTTAACAAAAAGGGGTAGCCCTCAAATGCATGTAAGTAACATAGAAGTGAAACCTGATCATATTATAAGTGTAAATAATGATATGTCTATTGAGCATGGAACTGATGATGGAGATTCAAGTTTACAAACCTTGATAGAACAGCCTGTGTTGGTGACTGCTGTTCCTAATGCTTTAATGAATCTTGAACAACCTGAAAGCAGGAGTTGTACATTGGCTGATGTGAAAGTTCCAGCATCTCAAGCCAATGAGAGCAATATTACTGAAGTGGCTCCCGTTGTTAATATTATATATGGATGCAGCAGATCAACCCAAGCTTCCACGCACTCTGCACCAAGAAAGAACAGGCCATCCAACTTAAGCCAAAGCTTCAACATATTTGCTCACAAAGACAATGACAGAAATAGAGTGAACTGCAGCAAAACAGACACTGCTTTAAAAACGAAAGTGGGTGTCAAGATGTCTCAAGACTTTATTGTTTTGGGCAAGAGTTCTATCCAATGCCAGACTAAAAAGATAAAGAATTCAATTTCCTATTCTCTGGGATTTTCTTCTGAAGACACTGGAATTTTGTCAAAGCTTAAGAAAAAGCACCCTGAGCAGACGAAGCACCACTTCAACCAGAGCAGTCAGAAATCCCTAAAGCAGAGACTTCCTTCTATTTCCAATAACTCTGTAACTTCAGGGGAAAGCAATGCTCCTTCTCCCATCAGACAAGCACATTCAGCAAAAGACTCAATGGATTTGAAATACAGTGACATGTTCAAGGAAATAAATACAGGTGACAAAGGTCCTGGCATTTATGAAATGTTTGGGACTCCAGTATACACCCGTGAACCCACCAGACATGAAAACCTGTCCTGCAGGAGTGTGCATTCTGCTCCGACTGGGAGGCGCAATGTAAGAAAACACAAATCTAACAATTTCAGTGGAAAGACAAGCAATGGAAAAAGAAACTCCCCAAAGAAAATATACCCAAAGCCACACAAGATCTCCTTTGGCACCAAACAGAAGAAGGAATATTTGGTGTCCAAAGAGACATCTGAAGTGGAAGGCAGCTCTCTTGCAAAGAATAACAATGCAATAATCTCATGTGAAAGAGGGCCAATAGAGACTGAAGGGAACATTTCTGAAGATGTTCATCGGCAAGCTCTGACTTCCACTGAATTGCCAAGATCTGCTAAACAGAATGAAGTCCTTCCACATTCAAACTTGTCAACTATTGAAGAAGTCTCATTGGAAAACATGTCAGATGTGGTTGTTAACAAAACACGTGTTACCAATGCTCAGGAATTCCTCTGGCCAGAGATTAAAGTCCATGCAGAATACGCTCCTTTTTTAAGCTACGTGAAAGATACCAATGAATATATGGATTTAGGGGAAAGCAGAAACATAAGGGAGGTAGGAACTGAAGTAAGTTCCGTGTGCCTTGAGGAAGCGAAAGCAAAGCAAGACTTGTGCTATGGAGATAATCAAGAAAATCCCTCTGGGTTGTCTTTCCCAGAGGCAGCAAAGTCACCTGCACAAAACCTTCCACCTGAGAACATCAGCTTAGTAAATGTATCACCTCAACAGACTTGGCATTCTGCAGACTCCATTTCCGAGACATATTCAAATATCCTGCCCTGTGAAAAAAGTGAAGTATCAGAAGACTTATTTTGTTGCTCAGTCACTGAACTACTCTCTCTTGGAAGTGCAGATAGCAACTGTACTAGAGCAGTTGCCAAGAATTCAAAAAAACAAGTATCCAGTGGAGATGCAGAAAGTAAAGAAGATGGTACAGCAATTGAAAGAAAAAGGAGAGTAAGTTCTTATATGTTAACTGTTTGTTTGGAGCCCCTTGGTTGTGCAATGGGAGATAATCAAGAAAACACCTCTGGGTTGTCTTTCTGTAAACTCCATTTCCGAGAGCTGGCAGGACTGCTAACCGAAAGGAGCAGGTTGAGCTCCTGTCTGTCAGCTCCAGCTTCTCATGCAGGGATATGAGAGAAGCCTCCCACAGGATGGTAAAACATCCGGGCATCCCCTGGGCAACATTCTTGCAGACGGCCAATTCTCTCACACTAGAAGCGACTTGCAATTTCTAAAGTTGCTCCTGACACAGAAAAAAAAACCCTTTATTTAATCATGCAATAGTGGAGGGTATTCTGATATTCATAGTATGTTGCATTTGGACCTGGAGAACTAGATCTCAACTTCTTGTTATTTACCATTTCTTAAGTCAGTCTTGGGCAGCTCATGCACTTGTCATCTTAGTTTTCTGATTCTAGGTAGCAATAGGATATTAAGCATTGCCTTGCTGAATCAAAATAATGTTCACATAATCACAGCTGTTCCATTCTCTCACACCTGAAGTGACTTGCAGTTTCTCAAGTCACTCCTGACATGGGGAAAAAAACCCTTTATTTATCAACGCAATAGTGGAGGGCATTCTAATATACATAATATGTTGCATTTGGACCTGGAGAACTAGTTCTCAACTCCTTGTTATTTACCATTTCTTTAGTCAGCTTTAGTAATAGGATATTAAAAATTGCCTTGCTGAATCAAAATAATGTTCACATAATGCTGCATATGGCCAGATGTGTTTGTGACAAGCAGGGCATGAAGGCAATAGCCATCTCCTTTTATTTGTCTCTAGGAAGAGATAATTTCTGTCTATGGAAGTTTTCATTTAGATGATCGTGATGATTTTGGCAATAGTACTTCATAGGCCCAGTAGTATTTAAGCCTGTAATTATTACCACTTCTTGTCAATTAGTTCAATTTAATTTAAATAGTAACAATGACTATCACCAGGCTGTTGTGTGGATCAATTTTTTTTTCATATTTTATGTTTTCATTACACATGACATAAACTTTACTAGTTTCAGATGAAGTTACAACATTTATATTCTAGTTTTGTACTGCTCCTCTTTCAGTATGTTATGTGCTTTTTTCTGCTACATTGTACAGCACACCTGGCCAGATTTCCTGGAACCCAGTAGAGAACACACCTTTCAAAATATGGCTGCATTTTCAGAAAACAATTTAACTAATGAAGATTCCGTCCTGTGGACCAAAGGTGAAATCCTTGGAAAAGGAGCCTATGGCACAGTAAGTCACAAGTGCAGTATGTGTGTGAAAGAGAGAGAAAGGCAGAAAGAGAGTCATTCTCAGAAACTGGGTGACTGGAATGCAGTTTGATGAGTGGATAATGGGTCCTGATGGGCCAATGCCAGCTGGACAAAGGAGGTGCTGGCCGATGGACAAAAAGTGCTGCTTGTTGTTGTTTATTCATTCAGTCGCTTCCAACTCTTCGTGACTTCATAGACCAGCCCACGCCAGAGCTCCCTGTCAGCCATCACCACCTCCAGCTCCTTCAAGGTCAATCCAATCACTTCAAGGATGCCATCCATCCATCTTGCCCTTGGTCGGCCCCTTTTCCTTTTTCCTTCCATTTCCCCCAGCATCATTGTCTTTTCCAAGCTTTCCTTTCTTCTCATTATGTGGACAAAGTACTTCATATTTGCCTCTAATATCCTTCCCTCCAATGAGCAGTCGGGCTTTATTTCCTGAAGTAGGGACTGGTTGGATCTTCTCGTGGTCCAAGGCACTCTCAGAATTTTCCTCCAGCACCGTGTCTATCTTCTTTCACTCAGCCTTCATTATAGTCCAGCTCTCACATTCGTAGGTGACTATGGGGAATACCATTGCTTTAACTATGCAGATCTTCATTGCCAGTGTGATGTCTCTATTCTTCACTATTTTATCGAGATTGGTCATTTTCTCTCCTCCCAAGAAGTAAGCGTCTTCTGATTTCCTGGCTAGAAATACAAAGTCTGTCACTGCCTCCATGTTTTCTTCCTCGATTTTCCAGTTATCAGTCAGTCTGGTTGCCATAATCTTAGATTTTTATGTTTTTTATGTTTAACTGCAACCCAGCTTTGCACTTTTTGACAAAAGGCACAGTTACATACATACATTCCCTGAGGGGGTCCGGATAGGTGCTATAGATGAGGCAAGTTCCAAGGAAGAGGACAAGAGGGCATTGGGTGTCTTCTGTAACCTCTGGTTTGCTCCATTGTTAAGTGTGTTGTTAGGTAATTAGGGTGACTTGGGCCATTGTTCCTTGGAGTCCAGGGTGTGAAGCAACATTTAAATGAGATTTATTTATTTTGTGTCAAAAGCATTGCATACAAAAGTATAGAACTGATAAAAATAGGAGGACAAGCAGCTAAATAATGTTTTACCAAAACCGGGCAACAGCGACTGCATTGTTTGTAGCTTTAAACAATTCTTCTGTACATGAGGCAGGGCATTGTGGACAAGCATAAAGGTGCAGAGTTGTTTGTTCTGCTCCACGATTGCACAAGGTGAAAGATTCTTTGAGATAGTTTCATTTCGCCAAGTTGTCTTTTGACCTGCCCACTCCGCTTCTGAGTCTGTGTGGGGACTTCCAAGTTGCCCATTCTTGGTTTGCCCTGGAGGCAGACACTCTAGGGAGACCATCCAATTGGAATTGCCTGATTTAGCTGCCCAGAGGTGTGCTCTGGGGATACGGAAAGAGCCTCCTTGAAGACTGAGAGAAATGACCAATCTCGATAAAATAGTGAAGAATAGAGACATCACACTGGCATCCCAGGGCAAAGTTTCTTGTAAATGGCTAATCTTTCCAAACCCAAAAGCATTGTTTTTAAACATTTAAATGAGATTAATGGAAGGTTACTTTGAAGGTAACAAGAAAAAAATCCAATGTGCGTATATTTACAGATAATAATTCATATATTTTATATACTTCATATTATTGTGGGATCTGATTTCTTGATAAGAGAAAAGGAGAGTAATTTAACACATTTTGAACATACATTGTTTTTCTAGACACAATCTTCTCAAGATGGCATACAAAAATAAATCACAAGATCCAAATGCAGACTGTGATTAAAACTTTTAATAATTATTAACATCTAGGGACAACATGTAAATATAAACTCAGAAAGCATAAATACATAATGAACACAACATACACAAATTCAAATTGTTCAAATTCAATCATATTAGTTTATACATTGGCATTCCAGTATAAAATAAAATGCTACCCTTTTTTGGTCTAGATTGCATAAGGAACCTTTATTTCTGAAGATTTGGCTAATAAGTCAATTTGCTTCAGCATAGGTTGTATATACTGTAACAACAGGTTTGGATTACACTGGTCCATGTTTGGGAACTGCTTTGATTTCAATGCTAAAATGCTTGAGCTTTGTTCCTAGTTCACATCTCCTATGAAACGTTTTGATTTCTAGGTCTATTGTGGACTTACCAGCCAAGGGCACCTGATTGCTGTGAAGCAAGTCCCACTGAATATCCATGACCAAACTGGGAATGAAAAAGAGTACCAGAAACTTCAAGAAGAAGTCGAGATACTGAAAAATCTAACACACATCAACATTGTAGGTTATTTGGGGACAAGTTTGGAAGATAGCATAGTGAGCATCTTTATGGAGTTTGTTCCTGGGGGTTCAATTTCCAGTATCATTCATCGATTTGGGCCATTACCTGAAATGGTCTTTTGCAAATACACCCAACAGATTGTACAAGGGGTTGCCTATTTGCATGAAAATGGTGTCGTCCACAGAGATATTAAAGGCAACAACATTATGCTTATGCCCAATGGTGTTATCAAGCTGATAGACTTTGGCTGTGCTAAGCGCTTAGCGTATGCAAGCCTGACTAATACCCACAGCGAACCACTCAAATCAGTCCATGGCACTCCTTATTGGATGGCACCAGAAGTGATCAATGAATCTGGCTATGGAAGAAAATCAGATATTTGGAGCATTGGCTGTACTGTTTTTGAGATGGCTACAGGAAAGCCGCCATTGGCTTCCATGGACAGGATCGCTGCCATGTTTTATATTGGTGCTCACAGAGGACTTATGCCTTCACTACCCAGGCATTGCTCAAAAAAGGCAACGGATTTTGTTCATCTGTGTTTAACCAGGTAAGTTATTATCAATGCTGAGAGAAAATTAGTGTCTTTCACCCCTTAAAATTTGAGATTAAGGCTCCTTCCACACAGCTGTATATAATCCACATTAAACTGAGTTATATGGCAATGTAGACTCAGATTATCCAGTTCAAAGCAGATATTGTGGATTACCTGCCTTTATATTCTGGGTTATATGACAGTGTGAAAGGGCCCTAAGGCCCCCTTCTACACTGTCAGATAAAATCCAGATTATCTGATATATGCAGTGTAACCAGATTATATGGCAGTGTAAACTCACATAATCCAATTCAAATCAGATCAAGTCGATTATCTACTTTGATAATCTGAACTGTATGATAGTGTAGAAGGACCATTCTACACTGTCACATAATCTATTATATCAAGACAGATAATCCACATTATCTGCTTTGAACTGGATTATCTGAGTACACTGCCATATAATCCAGTTCAAAGCAAATAATCTGGATTTTATAGAGCTGTGTAGAAGGGGCTTATGTCAATCAGTTCCTAGAAGGTGCAGGAGGGAGGATATTGTAGTGCTCTTATAGACTAAATCCTTTGCATGCAAAAGATCAAATGTTTTACAACTTTTGTAACCTCTAGGAAGAACTGAGAAAGTATCTCATTTTAATTATTGTAGAATTTAACATTCGCTCTTCCATATTCACATACCAATCTGTCCCCACTAGGCAAATTTAAGGGGCTTGTTTAGGCCCCTTCTACACTGCCATATAAAATCCAGATTATCTGCTTTGATAATCTGAATTGTATGGCAGTGTAGAAGAGGCCTGAATGCTACCCATTTACAGAAATCTGTAAGCAACAATATGTTGTGTTTACAGTGGACTCTGCAAAAAATGCTTCACTTGTACTCCATAAAAAGGAAAATTAGTCTTTTCTTCTCTGTTTTCCTATCTGTAAATGTTTGATTTTTATTTCTATTTTAGAGACCTATAAATCTGGGGTCATGATAAAATGTATTGGCCAGAAAGGGGCCACGAGTGTAAAAAGTTTAAGAATCTTTTATTTAGACCACATAATTTGGAATGAACAACAAAATTAAGAACCAGTGGTGTTATTGCCATACCTCTCTGAAGCCTCCACCCTAAATAAGTTAATGTTTTTTGTTGCTTTCTGGCCTTCCATGTATTTTATAATATATTTCAAATTCAAAATGTCATGAAATGTTATGTTTCCGTCTACTTTTAAGTAAATCCCAATGTCCAATCTGTTATTTAATCGGTTGAGGCACTGCATACAATAAGTTGGATACTTCTTTGCCTAGAAATTATTCTGTTGGGACAAGATAGAAACACAAATAAGTTTAAAAACCAAGTATATTACAGGAGTTTAAATCCATGGCTGCTGAGAAAAACAAGTCTTATTTTCCCTTTCTTTTTTATCATTTCCCACACAGGAATCAGTTTGACCGGCCAACAGCTGTACAGTTACTGCAACATTCTTTCATAACAACAACATCACAAAGCCTGAAATAAATGTTAGACCATTTTCTATAGGAGGCTATATAACAAAATCAACTGTTTGCATTTTTTAAATAGCCAGGATAAACAGATGACGGTTGGGCTTTTACATGCTGGGATTGTGTGACTGGGATTTTAAGATTTATATAATGTGCTTATTACATTTTAATATTAATGCTTAATAGTTTTAACAGTGCAAACTGTTTAATTTCTTTTTCAAAAATATTTATATTTGTGTCCCACATAGGTGGGATAAATATAAATAAATCAAGCCTGATTTATGTCTAAGTTGTGAAGGATATAGGAATTGTGCACTTTTATTTCTAGTTTTCAGTCAGGTGTGTTCAGCTCTTTCAACTTGAGCAAAGCCAACTCAATCAGAGAATACTAATAATATTCTTATAATTATTTGAATTATACTAATATATATATATATATATATATATATATATATATATATATATATATGATAATCTTATAACTATTATTATTATTATTATTATTATTATTATTATAACTTTATTTGTACCCCGCTAGCATCTCCCAAGGGATTCGATGCGGCTTACAACAGGCCGAAGCCCACACAATACAACAATACAATACCTAGCAAATAAAACAGTTAAGCAAAAACAATAACAATAGCAGTACAACAAGACATTATTAAAAACTGAGCCGGTCAGAGTAGGGGTACAGGATTAAAAGTGCTGATGTGTCGGAGGGATATGGGATTATAATATAAGTGCGGTGTGCAGTGTGCGGTGGTCTTGATTCTGACTAAAGTGCTTCTGGGATTTGGAACTGGGGTTTCTAGTCAGAGAAGGCACATTTGAACAGCCAGGTTTTCAAATTCTTTCTGAAGACTGCCAGTGTAGGGGCTTGTCTGAGGTCTTTCGGGAGGGCGTTCCAGAGGCGGGGGGCCACCACGGAGAAGGCCCTGTCCCGTGTCCCCACCAGACGCGCTTGTGACGCGGGCGGGATCACGAGCAGGGCCTCTCCAGATGACCGGAGTGAGCGTGTGGGTTCGTAGACAACGATGCGGTCACGCAGGTAGGGTGGTCCCAAACCGTTCAGGGCTTTGTAGGTAAGCACCTGCACCTTAAATCATTAAGCCTGTGGCCCCATCTATACTGATCATTTAATGAAATTCAAAGCCAGCTTCAAACTGCAGAAGCCAGGCAACATCCATCCATAAATGTGTGTGAAAGAAAGCCCTCATCATGCACCAGTGCTCTGTGACTTGTGAAATCACCACCCAGACTTCAAACTGGTCCCAGGATATCCTATGTAATGATTGCATAGTGAAATCACCATTTTCAATACTGGTTTGAAACTGCTTTAATGGTCAATGTAAATGGGGTCTATGAAAGCATACGCAACCAACTTAATTCTGTCACTTAGGGTGTCCCTATTCTACACTGTAGAACTAAAGCAATTTGTCACCACGCATGACTGCTGTGGCTCAAGGCTATGGAATAATGGGAGTTGCTGTGGTTTTTTAATATGTTTTGATGGTTTTTAACTAATTTTTAAAGTGCTGTTTGTGTTTAATTCTGTTTCAATGTTTGTCCATTTGAAATTGTATACGAATGCTTTTATGTCAAGCCATTTTGAGTTCCCTTTGGTGAGACAAAGCGGGGCATAAATATAAGTTATAGGTTTAAATGGTCTTCAGCCTTCTCTGCCAGAGAGCTAGGGCCTCACCAAACTACAACTCTCAGGATTCCATAGAATTGAGCCATGAGTTAAAAGTGATGTTAGTAAAGGTGAAAGTATTCACCTGACATTAAGTCCAGTTGTGATGTTACACTGCATTAATTACAAAGTGTATATGTACTCCCAAGTATCAAGGTGTTACAATATTCTTTTGTACACTGATATCCAATCGAGATTGCATTAGCCATATATTGTAAAATAAAATGATGTACAAATTGGGCAAACAGTGAATATGTAAGCGCCATAATGGAAACACTTCTTTCATTAGCTTTTAAAGGAAATTATTATGTGCTGAATAATTAGTAACTCCAAGGGTGAGTTTGGGAGGTCCATCCTATAAAAGGGCTTTGCCAGTTGTAAAAACAAAGCAAAAAAAAAAAAAAACCCACACCATGACCAGAACAGCCATTGCTGTTCATCAGTGTGGCAAAGTTTACAAAAGTTTTGAAGATTGCATTTCTAAAACCTTAGAAACTTTGTCTGCTGTCTGGTAACAAAAGGGTCATGACGAAAAGTCTCTGAGGACACTTCATCCTATTTTTTTTCTGTAAGAACCTCTGAGCCATCTTGGAAGCCACAAAGAATCTGAGTAATATTCAGGTATCTGAAGGCCACTGCTGTTTCATCGACTGGGAATCAGGAAAAGACTCAGCAGTTTGTGTTACTGGGGGCCAAAGATGGAGGAAATACGTGTTGTCTCTCCAAATTTCCTTTCAATTTATGGCAACTGCATAGATTTCATATTTCATGTTTTTTATGGCAAGGGATACTCAAGAGATGGTTTCACCAGTTCTGTTTTCCGAAATATAACCTATAGAACCAGGTATTCATTGGTGGTCTATCTCCAAGTTCCCACCGGGACTTGATTCTCCAAAGTTTCCAAGAGCAGATGAGATCTGGTTTTTGTGGGGCATTCTGGCCCTGAAGGAAATGGCTGCCCTCTTAACCAGCCAGTTTATCAGCTGCTAAGATTTCTGGGAGTTGAAGGCCAAAACATCTGGGGACCCACAGGTTGAGAACCACTGCTCTAGATAGCTTGCTATCACTGACCCAACTATGAATTATGTAGTAAATCAGGTGTCTTCAAAAACATCAGAAGATCCACCCTAGAGCTGAACAGAAAGTGGGCCATTCAACACATCTAGAACTTACAGAAGAATGAATTAACAACAAATCCCATGTTTTCAAATAACCTATTCAAAGTTTGGACATAAACCCTATCAAGATGTTGAAGCAGAACCTTAATGGCAAAGTACTCAAGTCACTCTAAGATAAACCATTTCTGTGGGTAAGAACAAGATTCTTCAAAGTCACTGTTACACTGATCAAGTTTATAGGACATGATCACCTGAATTTCTTTGCTCAAGAGCAGGTGCTCAATCTAAAAGCTCCCAAAGTTTTCCACAAATGATTATTGCAATCTATCGTGGATAAATAAACACTGAAAACATAATAGTGTTTCTCTTTTTACTTTAATCAGGTCAGCTGTTATTTTTATCTCAGATAATAACATTAAAATCTAACATTTATGTTTAGAAATATGTGACAATCCTAAGAGATTCATAAATTGATCCTCATTGCTCTTACGATATACAAAATGATACTGATGCAATGTCCAATTGCTAAAAATCAGTAGCCTTTACATTTATCATAAGCTTATATATGGTCCACTTCAGTTGCTTTTTTTTTAATAAAAAGGGGCATAAAAAGTAAACTACACACCTAAAAGTCTACTATGGTTTGAAGCACAACTTTATCTGCTATGGCTCGATGCTATGGAGTCATGGGTTATAGGTTTACAAGGTTTTTAGCCTTCTCTGCCAAATGGTGTTGTTGCCTCATTGGAATACATGTCTCACGATTTAATAGCACTGAGCCATGCTATTGTGTCAAACTGCATTACTTCTACAGTATAGATGGATCCTCAGTTATGAAATACATTTGCAAGGTAGAACTGTATTAGACATTCCTACCAGTGGAAAAGTATAAGACAATTTCTGATGATCCCCAATCTACCACTATAGAAATTTGATCAGGAGATGGCACTGGAGTATGCAAGAGAAAATCACTTCAAACACTCTGTCCTCCCCAATAGAACTCTCACTTGAATCAGCACCACTTCCAGAGGCCTGTCATTCATAATTAGACTTGGATCCAGCCAATTCATAGGCTGGTTCCCTGTCAGATATTATGTTGGATATTGCTATGATTGCAGATGCCCACAAATCCACCTTAAAAACCAGGCAACAGCAGCACCCAATTCAAAATGCTGGTGAACAAGGTGCTGAAGGACACACCATCCAACCCCCTTTTCCATGCAATCTTAATTTAATCCAGCATTTGATTAACAGTTTAGAGTACTGTAGCAAATTAGGTTTAAATGATACAAAATTATCACTGCTTAACTACTCACATCTTTCCCATGTAGAATTACCTACAAGCATATAGCTACCAAAGTAATAATTAAATATTCTAATGTATCTTGTACAATTATAGCAGAGGTGTTAATTCAATCGAGAAACCTTATATTCTATTATCATTTGCTGAATGCATAGGGTTAAATTATAAGTACTTGGAGAGAATCTAAGCAATCTTGTTTCTTTTATTTCAAAACTGTGGACCCTTCCACACAGCCCTATTTCCCAGAATATCAAGGCAGGAAATCCCACATTATCTGAGTGTGGACTCAGATAACCCAGTTCAAAGCATATTGTGGGATTTTCTGCCTTGATATTCTGGAATATAGGGCTGTGTGGAAAGGCCATGTTAAAAAAAGGGCAGACTTATTAAGTCTTATATCTGTTTTAGATTTTGTGTCCAGTATATTTTTCATTGAATAGGCAAATGAATCATAATGATAAACAAATTCCAAAGCAAATCTACAGGCTGTAAGCAAATACTATGAGGCTTTGTAAATAAATTTTATTTAAGTAAACATGTACTGGTTTATCTTCTTTCCTACTGGGAATCACAATTTTAAGACATTTTGAATCTTGCTTACACTACATGGCAAAGGCTCTTCAGAATTTCATAGCATGGATGAGGTAGTGAAGAAAGTCTAAAAAGGCTAAAAAAATGCAACAATGCAGGATCAAGGTTCACAATACAGGGTTTAAGAAATATTCTTTCAATGTAGAAAAATTACAAGGGTGAATGAAGTAGTAACAGTTTTGGATGAACCAGGCTGAAGGGCTAAGGACTAGATTAAAATATGAAGATACATTATTCACTGTGTCCATGTTCAAGTGTTAGAAAAGACACCAATAGTTCAAATAAACGTATTCAAGTATGTAGTACAAAGTTTTGTATTA